TCCAGCCCTTTTGCCATTCATCCCGCTCGTTATTGCCGCATTGCAGATTTTTAGACGCCGCCGCTTGTGATTCTTTTATATAAAATGTATAAGTATAGTTGCTTATATTTATGCCATTCATTCTTACATTTATAAGCATAAATAAAGATAACTGAGTTTATATACATGTAAACTCGCTGATAAATATATATAAAAAAATAAGAATGCTTACTTATATTATATACACAACTATGTACTTGACACCTTTTTTTGCATTTTTGTCGTGAGAGCACAAAAGTTCGATTTTTAACAGAATTTATATCTTTTGAATGGGATTTATAGGCCTTATGCGATAATAGAGTGCGGCAACACGTTTTCCAGTTTGTATAGGTAACAAAAGGATAGTCCAAATAATCTAATAACTTTGCCGATAAATTATTCCACATGTAAAAAGTAAATATACTGGAAATTTTGATTAAATTGATATATACTTATATATATACATAGTTAAATATTGATATATAAACATATATACATACTGAATACCTTGTATATAGTGTATAAATCTAGTTATATTTTATGCATTAAAATCTCCAGCATAATTTAATCATTAATATTCGTTTTAAAGACCTAGGTCAAATTACTAAAATTAACAAACAGTTTAAAATAAAAATCTTTAGCTTTCCTCTCATTCTCTTACTTCTCTCTTCCATCTTTTATCAGTTCTTTGCTCTATTTCTTTTTTTTTTTTAACAAGGTATGTAACAATTTGTAAACAACTCTGTAAATTTACTTTCTACATTTTCCCTTTTTATAAAACGCCTAAGTTAAATATTTATACATTGATATTTCAAACCCAATTAATAGGAACAATAATGCCAGAACGTATAACAATACAAACATTTCTTTTGTAGAAGTACATTTTGTATCTATATACTGTGTACAGAGTGTATTTAAATATATATATATATATATATATATATGTATGTATATAAAACATAGAGAATATATAAATACTGCACCAAGAAAAATCTAACTCATTCTTCTTCTTTACTTTTCCTTCCCTTTCTATCTTCTTTGACTTTTTCCATTTTCCTTCAATATGGTACTTTTTCTTTTTTTTCTTTTGTTATAATTTTTCAATAGATATATTAATATTAATATTCCAAAAAATTAAAATATTGAATTATTTACTTTCATTTTCTAATTATTTAAATAAAGAGAAATTTCTAATTTAAAAGAAAACGAAAAATAAAAGAATAAATTAAAGTTAAAAAAAAAAAATCAAAAAACTTTTCTTTTCATTTTCAATACTAATCAATATTCTCTAGAAAATTTTATAGATTTCGACATGAAATTATCGGTTATATATAGGCTTAAACAGTATTTGCTCTGCAGTGTTTCCCTCTGCAACAATAGCGTAACGTGACGGAAACTTAAATATTGATTGAATGCTTCGTGAAAAGAACGATTGACAGAAAAAATACTCCAATTTCCTAGCGACAGGCAGTTCCTATGATAATTTTCTTACTAAAGACTGACATACATTTAAATTGTAATTAATTTTTCAAGTTGTAATTAAGTTGGACCATTAAAGATGGATAATAAACGATAGTGTATACAGTAAGAATGAGGTATATATATATATATATATATATATATATATATATATGTATACATGTTTATTTATTTATTTATACATATTGTAAAGAGGTTTAATCTTCATTTTTCCTTCCTCTTCCCCTTCCATAATATAAGGCCATAAATAATGCAGCAGCTTATTGCCTTATTCTATACAAATGCGGTAAATAAAAGCGTAGTTATTTCTCTTTGATAACTATATTCTTTTCCAAGCTAAAATTTCCGTATTTAGTCTCCAACTGCAAAATTTTGCAAATTACTGATACATCTTCTCTGAAGAACATTCTATTTTTGTCCTTTTCATTCATTTTTCTTGGAAAAGAGAAAGTTCTTGAATCTCATCGAAATTATGGCTGACTCTCCTTTTAATACAAATAGCAATAGACTGCTGCGAATATTGCAAAATTTATAACATCTAGCCGCCAACAGAAGAACGGCAATGCGCTGTGAAAAGACTGTAATCGTCTGGCACCGGCTGAAGAGGCTGGTGCACAATAGACGCTTAGAAGAAGTGTGAAAGGATAACTGATTATGTTAGCTTTATAGATTATTGCTCTAACCGCGTCTCTCTCTCTTTTCCCCCATCCTCTCTCTTACTCTCTTTCTATCTCTCGCATTCTCTTTCTCTCTTATCTATTTTGCTCTTTCTCCACATTCTCTGAGATTCCCCACTCCTCCCTCTTTTTTCCTTCGGTCTCATTTTCTACTTTTGTCTACCCCTTTGCCCTCTTCCTTCCTCTTTCCCGGTATTGTCCACGGTTTCTTTGAACCGTCTAACCTCCTAATCGCCCGAGGGTACATTTCTCCTGTTGTACAGCCGTGACCGAACGAATAGAAAACGTCATAGCCAGTCGTTCTCCTTTATACTTTCTTTCTTTTATTTTCGAGGAGGGGGATTTAATACGTAAGAAGAAAAGGCCTAACATCAGCGCCATCTTTACAGTAATTTTCACACCAACACCTCCGCTTTCCTAACACTTCCTGTTATAATTCGATTAATGAGTGCCTTTGTCGAGCTCATTCTGTTTATCCCAGAAGCTGGCGAAGCAACCCGCAACCCTAGAGATCAATTACTAAACCTCAAAAGCTTAACGTACATGCGTATACAATAAATGTATGCATATATGTGAAAGAAACGTAAAATGACTCTTATATGCCCTTAAGAGGATAGTCTACCTTGTTAATTCTCTCCATAATAAAGAAAATCATGAAATTGGAACGTCTATGTTATTTTATTCCTATTTCATAATGGTGAATCAATTTTATCATTTTTAAAAGCTGTATATTGTATTTATTTTACAATAATAGCCCGTTCTTTGTATCCTTCTTTTCTCCCTTTATCTTTAATACTGAATTATAGACAAACCAGTAAAAAGAAGAAATATTTCTTTCGTCTTCAATGCTTCAATATAATACTTTTTTTTCTTGGATAACAATACTCTTTTCTTTCACTTTTTAAAAAAATCAGTCAATTACCAATTCAACCAGAGAATATGTAAAATTTGCCTGTTTCTATCATGTATTTGATAAACACTGAGTCATAAAATGAAGTTATCATTGATATAAAGGAAACAGATGCCGTCTTTTAAAAAAATTCTTTTTATCTATTTCCAAATTCCAAATAATTTTCCTTAAATACTAAAAAATCGAAATACACTCTGATTGATCACGTGACAAACGTTTTCGATTGGCTATTATATTAAGAATCTTATAAGAAATCTTACATTGTCGAAAACTTATTCGTACACAATTGTCTATTGTTTGGTTCGTGAACGATTTATTCGTTTGTTAAGAAGGGAAAAAAACGAATGAAATGAAATTGACTATGTGAAAAAAAAGCGTTCCTTCACTTATGTTATACAGAATTAAAAAAGAAATTATTTGCTTTATAAAGATTAATATTAAAAAATCGTCATCATGTCTTTTTTTATAATCTTTATTTTTCGTTTAATCTAAAAATCTGAAATTGTTACAAAAATTTTCAAAAGAATATTTTCTATAATGTTGAACTTAGCTAATGAAAAAAAAATCCAAGATTAGTTTCTGGCTTTAGAATAGACTTAAGATTACAGTAACAAAATGACTATTAAATGTTCAATACGATTACACAATTTAATTGAAACGATAACTATCAAGCATTTCAAGTATTAATAAATCTTAGAATCTCGTAATGATAAAAGCATAATTAAATACGACGACATTTCTTGTCAGTAGACGAGTACACGTTTTATCGTTAAGTTAGTAAAAAAAATCTCTCTACTGTAATCACTAACGTAAAGAAACTAATTCAAAAATGAGATTAGTTGAAGCACTTTTATCTTCTGGCTTGTTCATTTTTACGCATGTCTATTCTATCCAAAGTGTTAAAAAATATTCACAAAACACATCAAGATATACCATACATATGTACAAGTACATTCAACATATAAACATATATGCTTTAATACCAGTACATAATTGTGAATAAATATATATTAATGCACATGTACGTAAATAACTATCAGAATATAAATAAAGATTTGAAAAAACTGGTTTTCATCAATAAATTTAACTGGGAAATAGCTCACAAAAGCAATCATGGCTATTTTGAAAGTATCCAAGATATGACATTTATTCTCACATATGCTTCTTTTACAAAATATATTATGAGAAAAAAAGTACTTAAAAATAGGCTCAAGAAATCTCACATTAAACTAGTTTTAAATCTAAATGTTTACTTTTTATTTGAGATCTCTCTTTAGTCAAACAAATATATAATTAAATAAACTATCTTTTAAGTAATTAAAAAAAAGTTTCTCATTAAAATATAACAGAAGAATTGATATATATATATATATATTATATATATATATATATATCATGAACTCATATCATTTATATATATATATAATTTTATATATATAAACGCCCCTTAACAGCTTGATTTTTAGAATTTATACAAAAAAGCATTATAAAACGAATTAATCAATAAAAAAATTGTTAATAAGAAAGAATCATGCTTTCTCTATCAGGTTAGTACTTTTTCTACGATGCTATATTTCTCACTCAATTATCTTCAAAATAGCCAATAAACGTGTGATACGAAAATTATACGAAAAAACATAAATTTAACAAGAGAGTAGACGAAAACGGAAATTAAATTCTATTTAAAATGAACATAAATGCATCCAGCAGAAAAAAAATTGTAAACTTTCCTTACATCTAGTAAATATTTTGTGGATAATCATTTCTAACTTTCTTCCAGTAAGCATTTTAAAAAAATATACCAATGTAACCAATTTCTTATCTCTTCTGTTCTTAATTGATTCAAGATCAGAAAAATTAACTCAGTTTTTCAGAGTTTAATCTACGATAGAAAATATACCTTTTGGAAAATTTTCTTAATCAGAGTCAACTTCAATTTTAACAACTGAAGAAGATCTTTTGCCTTCTCCATCAATCACTTCAACGTCTTTGTAGTTATGTAAAGATGATCTTTTATTTCTGATAAATTATTCAGAATTAACAAAATATAAAATTAATTTTAAATAGGAAGGTAAAACGTACTCATCCTTTCGTTGGTCACGATTGGGATAAAAATCCGAGTGTCTTCTTGGTTCGTAGCCCCTATATTTCAAAAAAAGTATTTTTATTGATAGAAATTTAATAAGAATTTTATCTGAAAAAATCCCTTTACTATATAATACCTATAGTAAGGCATGTAATATCCAGGAGGTGGTGGAGGAGGGTAATACTCTTCTGACCGTCTCCCATTTCCTCGATAAAAATAGTCGTAGTAAGGATCCCTATAGTCTCTGAAGTAACTACCACTTGGTCCTCCTCGATGGTAGTCCATGTTCAATAAGGGTGGTGGAGGTGATATGAAACGATGCTCTTCACTGGGTCCTCTTCTCCCTTTTAAATCTTTTCGTTTCGTCTCAACTGAGACAGTAGGTGCATCATCATCATCGTTGTCTTCTTCCTCTTCTTCGTCATCTGACATCTTTTGTTCTTGATTAGCTATCTGAGGTACATATGAGGATGTTGATTTCCTGGCTGTGTTTTTTGCTTGGGAGTTCTTTCTCGGTTCTTCACTACCATTATTATTGTTCATGTTGAAAGCACTTTTATTCATATTTAATCTTAGCGATCCAAAAAATTCTTCTTTTCTTAACTCATTGGGGTCATCACTGCTTAAATTTCTTAGCCTTGCACCTGGAGACCTATCAAGCTTTTTGGTAATCAAAACTCCATCAATGTTTGATTCAAAAACAGCAAGAAGACTTTCAATATCATTCTTTTTCAAAGTCCTTTCCTCGTCAGTTAAAATTTTTTCTGACAACTTTGCCAGTTTGCATTGGGCGGAATTTATGCGCTTTATTAGCTGAATTTTGGACTCTGTTAACTCATTTTTAGCTTGAGGTTCAATAAATCGTCTTTTAGGGGAAATATTAATTTCGTCAAATTTGTTCGAACTCTGGCCTTCTTCTGGATTCCTAGAATTTTGCCCTCTTCCTGCCCTAGAAAATACCCTTGAGTTGTCTTCTTGACCTGGAGAAAAGAGAAAATATGACATATCTTTCATTTAGAATAGAAATTCTTCTCTTTAATAGAGCTGACTTTAAAAGGAAGAGAACGTATTACGAAAATCTCTAATGATTTTTCCCGTCTGAATAGATGAAAGAAATATTACTGACGGTTAAATGGAATTCCAAAGGCAAGGAGAACTAAGATAATCCTTTTTTTGGTAAAATAAAAAGAGAAGAAACTTCTTTCGAACCATCAAAGATATAGAGAGTAAATGAACCGAGAGCTAATGACGAACATTTGAATGAAAAATATATAAGTATACCTAGCTCCCATTCTCCGCTTTGCTCTAGCCAAGCATTCTTTCTCTTTCTACTCGGTCTCTCAGTAGGACTATCATCCATATTATTATCATTTGTAGGTACATCATTCGAAAGACTTCTGTAAACGAATTTGACCCCATCAACAGGGAATCGCTTAGCATTTTCCTGCTGTATTTCCTCCGGTGTATACGGTGTAAAACTTTCGGCAACGGCATAGTCTTTTCTGAACTCCTCCGTAAAAAATTGTCGACTATGAAGCATCCCAAATACGTGTCTTTTATATTCGTAAAATGCCATAGATTTAGAACAATATTTACATCGTTGATGTATAGCACTTATCGGCTGAGACTTATTTGTTCCAAGGGCTTGTTGCTTTTCATAAATTTTTTGTTTTTCCAAGTCGAGCATCTTCACAACATATTCATAGTTCTTTGGTTCAAATGACTCGTAATAATCCAGAGTCAATCTCTCAGTATCCACGTAGGTTTGACTGTAAGGTCTCTTTGCGTGCATCTTCAGAAGTCTGAATAGAAAAATAAAATTAAACTTTTTACATTCAACAGAATGTTGTATATTGTCTCGATTTTCATACCTGACATTGTATTGCCAACTTCCTGGTATAGAGTTCTTAGTAATGTATTTTCCTCGAAACTTTTTCTTAAGAATTTCTTTTTTTGTCTCCTCTGGGCTTTTCTCCTCTATAATAGGGGAATTTTCCTCAATGGGAGGAGGATCTGAATCAGTAATTGATACGTCGAAATTTCTTGTTTGGACGGCTGATTCGGCATAATGTTCAAATTTATCGGTAATACTATTCTTTTTTCTGTAGTCTTCCGTGAAGAAGCACAGAGAGTGTTTTTGAGAATAGATATGTAAAGACATGCTTGGAACGTCACATTTCAAATCGCAGAAGGAACAGAATAGCTTCGTCTTTCCATCATCAGCATTTTTCGGAAATTCCTTATAACGTTGATGTTCAAGACTTAGGCACTTTTCAACGTACTTAACATTTTTCGGCTCCCGAGACTTGTAAACTCGTAACAAATTTTCTCTGGCCTTTACCTGAACATTTAGGAAGTTAAAAGAAGCAAGGGCAGCAAATGGTTATGATATTTAAAGGGTTAGCAACTTTAAATAACGAATGTGTTCTTTTGTTAAGACTTTAAATTCAAAATTCTGACATGTTGTAAACTCTAACAGCTATAAAGTTTATAGCAATGAGTTTATATGGTTGAATTGATTATATCATGATTAGTGGAGATTACTTTTGCTCAAAGTTTAATAGCTATAGGCAATAGCAGTCATTCCACATAATCACTTTCATTCATTGTTTAAAGTTATCAGGTGTGTTAGATACAACAAAAATTAGGTTAAAGGCATAGGGAAAGCACTCAGTTGCTTTCTTGATGAAGTAAACACTTGTTTTGTGATTTGGAGGTCTACAATAGTAGTTTAAATTATCACTTTAATTTTGTCATTTCAAAATATATTAATTTAAAATATCCATGTTTTTTCTGAATGGGACACGGATTTATTTTAAATTAATTATTCTTTCAGCTATTTAGTTTCAAATAGTTTGAGATAATGATATCTGCTGTTGTGTCCCATGATGAATAGAAATAAAATGTTATGATAATGAGAGTTTATATTTATACATTAAACTAAACTATGTTCAATACAAATGTCAACAAACCTGTTTTGAGTTCAAACCAGAGCCTTTGGGACAAAAGATATGTTTGTAAGCCATACTGCGCGGTATATCGTGTTCTTTGGCAACGTGTTTGGAAGCGTCAGCATATTTGAAGCACCTTTTATCGCATTTTTTGCAAGAATAAAACGTTCTTTTGGGAATGGGTCGAGAAACTTCACTAGAACCATTGTCAATTGAAGGTTTTTCATCAGCTTCCGATACTATCTCTTCACGGATATATTTCTCCACTTCCTCCATACCTATATAAAAAATAGCATTATTTTAACTATGGAATAGAAGCAAAATTTAGAAATTGACGAGTTCAATAAGTATATATGCAACTAGGGAAGGAGAAATCAATTGTTTTTGCTAAGGACAGGCTTATAATATCTAACAATTGATTATTCAGAAATCCCAAATCTTGTAATGTAAATGATCGATTGGTTACATTCTAAAACGAAAGAAAAAAGCTGTAAAATCCCTGAATAAACAATGGCTTACATACAGCCACTTATAATACCGATTTGCGTTCATAAAAGTCATTACATACAATATTTTCAGTAAACAATTATTGAAAGAATGTTTTCAAAGCCATATCTATCCTGTCTACAAATCTGCCACTTTCAGATCATAAAAATTGTTGTTGTAGAAAGTTAAGGAGATAGCTACTATTCATTCTGTTTGTGTTACATATGAAATTTTAAAAAAATTTAAAATTTGGAAAATGACGTAGTGCGAAGAGGAAAAAATTTCTTTTTTGAAGTGTTCTTTTAAAAGAACATTAATTAATCAAGAACGTTTTTGGCCAGAAAATTTCAATAAAAACTTTCAATTTTGAAGGAAAGTTCCAAAATGAAGCTGAAATCAAAATTGAAGCTTTCTCAGTTCATACCAGGAGAAAGGTCAAAGTTGAGTTCGAAAATTTGCACATTGGACCAGGGTATCCCTAAAGCTTACCTAATGAAGTGCATTCTTCCGTAAGTGAATGATTAGCCTCAGCAACTTCTTCGTCATGTATACCAGCAGCATTACGAATTTGATCAAACATATCTCTGTGATAAGACTTAACATGACGAAGGAGGTAGTCGGCTGTTGGATACCCATCTCTTTCCAAATGGTAAACACATTGAAATTTATCAGATACAGGAACGTTCTTCTCTTGAAGTAAACGTTGCATCTCACTTGTGACTGTATGACCAATACTTTTAAAATGTTTTTTGCTGTAGTTTGTTTTTATGGATACACGGCAAATTTGGCAGAGGATCGATTGATCATCCTCCTTAAAACTGGAATTAGGTGTGGCCGAATTTTCCATCCTGTAGTTATCTAAACCGTTTTCGCACGAATCATTTTCATGTGTAGAATGATCTGATAAAAATTAGCGAGTTAGCAACGATAAAAATTTCAGCAATTAGCATTTTGACACTTTCATTGTGTATTTAATTACCTGTATTATCGTTCATCGTACTTCAAGTTAAGGCGATCTACCGTCGATCATAAGTAAGTAAGACCGTCTCCTAATTTGGCAAGTGATTTTCAAGAATATGCATTAGAAATAAATCAATTTTGATGTTTTAATTATGCAAATTAACATTCTTCCAACCAACAAAAACAATCACGCGTTGAAGCTTGAAAATCGATATAATAGACACAAAAGATAAGACATACTTGGAAAAATAAAAATGAACACGCTGGATGAAAGACTACGACGGCCATAACTGTTCTGCGAGTCAACATCTCGGTCTAGCATAGCGATTCTGTGAATGTTCGTGATTTCACGCGAGATTTCTGAACCGTGCGAAAATTCTTGGTTAGTATTTAAAAATACATCGCTGATTTAGTTTTTTTTCTAAACAAGAATAAATCAGCTAAAAAAGAGAAGTCTTTAACACTTGTCAAATTGTTTAATTTTTTAATGAATAAACCCAATAACTGATACATAAAGAACAAAAATGGCCGAGGTATGCGAAAATAGGACACGCGTAAGCATAATAACGTTCCTTGTTTTCGCGCTTTTTTTTATCAACGGCTCTTTGTTCTTTTAGAGAATCATACTTTTACTATCAAATCGGTAGCTATATTATAATAATTTACTAATTCATTTTAAAATGACTTGGATTATGATTTCAATTTGAAATACATCAAAACGGTCATTTCTATTAGAACGGTTTATGTTAATGAGAAAAGAACGCTACGAAATTTCTAGGGATTCATTAAATTCGTGCTCTTAGTCGAGCTATGGTGCAATTTTTTAAATGAAATGGACATAATTACAATTTTTAGATGAGAAAATGCCATTTTAAACCTGATTTATCTTGGTGATTAGCTGCGATTCGTTCATAACTTAATCGTATTATATTTGCCTTACTTTTTTATTTCAAAATCCTGATGTTCCATTACAATTTTTTCAGATGAACGACTAGATTATGTTAAGATAAGTAAAAAGAAATGAAGAGAAGAAAAGCAAGTATCTGACAATTTGTGTTTGATGGGTCAACGATCTATTCCAGCTCTCATATGTTTTCTATTTTCTTGAATTAGCAATCCTGTTTTTTCCTGTTCAGGCTAAATAACAATGAAGCTTTTGCTTTACTATACTTCTATTCTTACGCAACGGCTTTAACATTATTTAGCCGCCTTCATGCTTGAGACATGTTAAGCCATCAAACACTTTATCTGAAAAAATACTTTGAGAAAGTAATCCTTATTAACAATTGCTTTTATTAACAGAGTTCTCGCATTCGAAAAAGCAAAATCGAACTGTCATCATCTGAAGTAAGTGATGAAGACATTGCCATAGATGTTGAAGAAACTGAATCTCCATCGCCCCCGAGGGGTCGAGGAAAATCATTACGAGTAAATCTCAACACATCACCTGGACATAGACGAACTGCCTCTGGGGGGAAATATGGACAGTATGACTTTCACAATGTTATACAAGCCTACAATGCTGTTAAAAAGGATAAAATGACAATTAGAGAGGCCAGTGAGAAATATGGTATTCCCCAAACAACACTTAGAGATAGAGTGACGGGAAGGGTCAGTTTTATACTTATTTAAATGATAAAAAGATCTAAGTTGAAATTTGAATTAGGTTTCTTTAAGCGCTGGTCGAAGAAGAAACAGAAAACCTCCCATCTTAACAACACGTGACGAGAGAAGAATTGTTGAATATCTCTTATATTTAGATGAGTTGGGATATGGCTATTCGAGAGAAAAAATACGTGAATTAGCAACAGATTTAGCAGTTCAAATAGGCCGACGTAATACAGATGACGGTCAATTAAGCAATAAATGGCTTTTAGGATTTTACAGTCGCTGGCCGGAGGTTCGTAACCAAAAAGTAAAAAAATTAAGCGAATTGGCAGAGAGGTCAAATAATCGCGAGGTTATTGACAAATACTATTCAGAATTTGAGGCCCTTTTGCACGAGCATAATTTGATGGATAAACCGGACCATATATTCTTTGTGCTAGAAAGCTGTGTTCATTCTAAAATGCAGGGCCTTTGGCCTGAAAAAAACCAACCACCTCGACTTCGGCCTAAAAATAAATGTGTTACTGTCTTATCTTCGGGAAATGCTGTTGGGTCGTCCGTTCCGCCTTATATCGTCTTTCCTGGCAGGAAAATGCCAAGTATTTTGTTAGAAGGTTTGTTGTCTAGCACTTATATCTCAAACATATTTAAAGACAATATTTCCTCCGAAGGTTCTCTTCAAGGCACTTCCGGCAACGTTACCCCAAGGGGTAGAACGTCTTTCAATGTATTCAGCGAGTACGTCAGGACGCACTTGCAAACTTATCTACCAAATTCACCTGACGAATGTGTGCTTGTGCTATATGATGCACATATGAGTCATGTAACACTTTCTGTTCTCGATAAAGCAAGACAACATAACATGCTACTATTTCCTTTACCTCCTCATTTATCAGCCGTCAAATTCCAACCAGAACCTGGTGTAAGTGTCGTTACTAATAATGGATCATCCGATATGATTGTTGCAAGATCAAGCGACATAGCGGGTGCTGAACATTTATACAGGTAATACCCTAATATATAATAAACACTTAATAAATATATAACTGTCTAGGCAAGTGTTCTACGATGAAGCCTGGGCCGCCATAGTTCGAGCACGAACGCATACCGTAAGAAAGTATGATATGAGTCGACTATGCTGTAGAGCTTATGAAAGAGCGTGGACACCGGCAAACTTAACTGCTGCATTCAGAGATTCAGGAATTTATCCTTTAGATGCAAACGTTATTCCTGCTCCACCCACCGAACTTGTACCATCGATTGTGCCACCAAAAACACAAGCCCCCTTTGATGGCGGCCAATTTATATTACCAAAATGTAAGTGGAGCAAAAATGATAGATTAACGAATGATAAAATATTTTCGTTTGCTTTTAGCGAAGAGACAAAAAAGTAAAATGAATTCCCCAAGTAAAATGAGAATTGGTATTAGAAATGGAAAAATGGCAACTTATGGTATGAATGATGCTGATCACGACTACAGGTAACATCTCAGAACAAAAATGTGAATGAAAAAGTGCTTTAATTTATTGTATTTATAATATAGAAATCGAGAGGGTGCGGGGTATCTTGGATCGTATATCACAACCGACTACGACCAACAGTCTTTGTCTAATTCCGATGATTTAAGTGACAGTGATGATGATGGCACGGGTCAAGCACCAGGAAGAAGTAAAAAGGGCCGTAAAGGCCTTTATGGAAATGTGAGGGATATTTTAAAGATTTCAACGTGACAAAATTATTAATCCTGTATATTTTTTAGTACGAACATAAGAAACAGTATCATCAATATTCACAAGACGCTATGCTCAAAGCCTACAAAGCTGTCACGAGAAAACGCTTTTCAGTAACGAAGGCAGCTAAACTTTACGACGTTCCCACTTCAACTCTACGAGATCGAGTTAATGCTAATTCTCCAAATAAACCTCGTTCGAATAATTCCCTTTTTTCTGCTGAGGAAGAGAGAAAATTGGTGAAACACGCTTATGCTTGTGCTCAGACTAATATTAAACTGCAGGGTTTGCAATTGAGACAGCTGGGCTCAAGTCTAGCAATATTTTTGGGAAAATGCAAGAAAACAGTTAATGCTATGAGCTCGAAGTGGTTGAATAACTTTTATCGAAGGTGGCCAGAAGTCAGACATATGAGATGCGAAGGAACGGCTAGACCATCCCAACAGGCTCTCAACGACGCTTTGATGCCAGATTGGACGAAGTACTGATTGCTCGTGTCTTTTACTATCATGCACTGTAAAGAACATAAATATACGCATTTCTATATATATATATATATATATATATATAGAAAGGCGAATGTGTATTACATATTTACTGTATGTAACTATAAGCATACATGCATCTATGTGTTATCTATACATTTGTACATGACCATTTACATTTAATTAAGATTAATCATATATGCAGTATATATAAAAGTATACTCTCGTATATGAATACTGTATATATTTTTAGCTACAGATTTTGCAGTTATCAGTCATTACTTTGATCATTTATTAGAAATTTGGCGATTATTTTGTATTTTTTTTCTCTTTACAGAGTTCTAACAAACATTACATAAAAAAAAGAAAAAAAACTAAGAAACAAATGGAGTTATGTTTTTTTTTTTTGCGATATTTGAATAGATTTTCAAAACAGTCAATGTGAAAAATGTGAGTTTAATTTGTGTTTATATGATTTTATTTAGACAACACAACTCACTCTAAACGAATTTTATGTGCAAATTATCGATTCTTCTTATTTGGTGTAGTTTCATTTTCGATTTTACTTATAAAATCGAAAAATGATTTCAAAAAGAGGTTTATTGAACTTTTCCTAAATTTTTACTAAATTACTACTACTAGGTAAAGTACAGCTAGATTACTTAAGATTTCAAGGAAATAGGTTCAAACAAAACACATATTTCTACATTGTTTGTTAAGTTTTGTTGCAAATTTAATTAGAAAGGTTGAAAAGAATTCAGATGGCGCTACGAAGGATTTAATTAAGAAACTTATCAATGAAATATGGAATACAGTTTTTTTGGATTTCATTAAAATAAAAGAAGAAAAAGAATAAATGATTTTTTCTTTCAAAAAGGTAAATTGAATAAAAAACTTATGAAATCTTCCTATTAATAAGTAAAACTAATAAATATTACATTGAATGTGGTTAAATTATATCTTTAGATAAATAGTTAAGTAGTTTTTCTTAAGGCGAATATAGGAAAGCTGCACTGTAATCGCCTTTGAAAGATGTGAAATAGGATTAATAGGAAAAAATATGAACTATTTCCATATTGCTGTTAATTGGTGAACGTACTGTTAAAACAATCCAAAAACGTACTTAGGCAAGTAGAGAATGAGTATTAATGAAAGAGAACTAAATAGTGATCTGGTTAACGACCACAGTAGATTATTTCTTCTGAACTTGAAACAGTTGTAAAAAAGAGATAAAAATACTATACATGCAATGTACATTTTATATTTCTATATTATGTAATAATTGACATAATATTTAGCAGATGCAATAGTTTTTCGCCTTATATGCATATTTGCTACTATAACATCATTAGTTTTTATATAAAACTTAAATATATAATTATACCTTGTTTAGACGTCTGTATAGGTTATATTTATATATACTTAATTTGTATAATCTATGTATAGTAGCTATGTATACAGTTTCTCATCTTTCAAATTTGAAAGCTAAAACAAACCCTACGTCATGAATACGATAAATTATAGTGAAAGGAAGCATACAGGTAGAGTCACGGTTGATAAATTAGAACATCACCTCTCTCATTTTCCTTGTCTGTTTCTCTCTCATCTCTCTTTCTCTCTGTCTTTCTCTAAATCTTCTAATGGTTTTCATAAAACATTTCTTTTTTACCTATGTCACTTTTCCTTAATAATAAGTCTTTTATTCTTTCTTCTTTCTATAGAATTCATAGAAAAAAGAAATGCTATACGAATAAAAAAGTTATTCCGAATTAACTAGACATTATGTATTAACTCAAGTTTTAAGGAATGCCATTCCGATGTAGTTATAAAGCATTTTGATCATGATCACCCAGCTTAAATATATTTCAAAGAAGAGTAATTATATTTCTATACCATCTATCTGTCGAAATTGCAAAGGAAATAGACGCCCTTGTATCATATAAATTATACAGCATATTTGACAATACACACTAAAAGAATAAGAAATTGAAGGTGAAAAGAGACGCCGACAAAAATAAAACAAGATTAATAAAGCAGGAAAGATATGCATTATTATGTATTAGTATATACAGTATATATATATATATATATTAGTATATATATATATATGGATAGACTATGCCATATATATTAGTATGTATATACATATATGAATCAAATATTAAACTATTATGTAGATATGCATTATTTATTCAATTGGTCGGAAGTTATGCATTGTTAATTTAGACATTAAAAATTACACATATAGATATATAACCTTTACAGATAAAAGGGAAGAGATTGTAGGATGATGTGAAGAAAAAAAAATACTTGGATTATTTAAGAAGGCTGTATGAAATTTTAAATAATTTTTATTCAGTATCATCAATATTTTAGCAGCTAAACAATTGGCGTAAAATTTTCCATAAACCCATTTAAGCATTGTCGCATTCGATTTTCTATATGAACTCTTTCAAACGAGATTTGTTTATTCGGTCGTCATAGCCGACAAACATGGCCGTTTTCTATACGGCTAATAGCTTTCATCAATACATAATCAGTTGGTTAAAAGCAGTAGACTTCTATTATTATTATTATTACTCTTATTATTAGTTTCACCTATCCAAGTTCGAACGTAGTTTGGTTTTTCAATTTGACAGTGTATGAAAAAACATAACATTGGATTTCTCTATTTTTTTATAATTTGAATAAAAGGATAATACTTCATTAATAGTCATTTTTCTCCCTCAACCCTCTTCGTTTCTTTTATTTCTGGGATTTTCTCAACTTTATCTTATACTGAACTCTTTCTCCTTGTCGTCTTTCACTCAGTTATTCTTCAAAGTTCTCAAATTATACATCATTGGCTATCTAATCACCTGATTTGGATTTTTACAATTTCAACGGGCCATAATTTTAAGGTAAAATTCTTTAAAGTAATCTTTCACTAATTCTGCTATTCTCTTAACAAATGCTTTTTCCGTTGGCAGTTCTAGTTTGAACAGCTATATTTTAAGTAGAGAAATCAACAGAGAGAAAAGCCACTTTCACAAGCAGTATTGCGTAAAGAATCTGCTAACTACGTAATTTTTTAAAAACGTGTGAGAGCTCAAGGGCAAAAGACATGCAAGATATTTCTGTTAGAAGACCTCTTCCCCAACTAAGGAGACAGATACAAATTGAACCTGAAGTCATTGTACCAAAACCAGGTTTGGAATAAAGTCATTTTCATGAAAACTCTCTAACTTGGTTTATTGTTTCTCTCAAAAGTTATTAATAAAAGGAGCAGAGCCTACATATGCAGTCTTACTCAACTGACTATATCTATTATGGGTTTTGCTATTGGCTTAGCAGCCTATACGACGACGGATAATATAAGAGCCGGATCATTTTGGCCCCATATAGCTGTTCGTATTAAAGAGAAGACATTTTACTTAATATATTATTATACTATTTGCAGATGGGGTTAGCTACAATTTTATTTATAGTTGGTTTATCTTCTTATCCAAAAGGGAAGGCATGGGTAAGGAAATTTTATCATTAACAAGTTCATATAATTTATATACGAGAGAGAACAACAGAGAAATATTACAAAAAATATTCAATTCTCCTCGTTAAGTCTTAATCGATGGTCACTTCTCTTTTTAATATCTATATTTTTTTATTAGTTAATTGGGGGACTGGTATTGAACGCTTTAGGCCTAATTATGGCTTTCATCGGCGGAATAGTCGACGGAGTAGAAGCCGGTCACGTGGCAGTAAGTGAAGATCTATATATATATTCATATATATAACAATTTTTCTATGTACTTCTAATTAAAAAATCTTATTAATTAATAATAATCCCTGTAAGTCCTAGTTTTGTTTTTTTGTTTTTTTGTGTTCAGTTCACGTCTTTGTATATAATTATTATATTTTTACTATTCCACTGTCTTTTATTCCAACCTTTCTACCTCTTTTCCTCTATATTCATTAGGATCCATTATGAAAATTATAAAGTTAATACTTCTTTTTTTCTATCTTATTCATTATTTATAAATTTATTTTAGTATTATCGAATTCATTAATTCAATTGAATCATTATAGGCTCGTGAATAACAGTGTCTAACACTTCTCTTTAGCTATAAAATTCAATTGTTGAAAGACGATACTTAAGAAATTCTTTTCCAAGAAATACGCTTTTCCTTTTAAAGAGTATAAGCTCGCAGTTTGAAAAAGACGTCTTTATTTCTTTATATTTCTCTTGTTCTCTTACTTCTTAACCTATACGCTTGCATGTTTTTCTTTCTTTTAATGGTAGTGGAGGTGTTTATTAGTTCTTAGCATTTTGAAAATAACGACAAAGAAGATAATAACTTCTACATATGTAATATATTTCATTATATTATTTAAAGAGAATCGATTTTTATGACTGCAAATACTACGATAAAAAATCTCCTATCTACTGCGGAAGTGAAAAGTGTTCAGCTGATGTAGAGGGAGAAACTTGCTTCTGTTGCCCAGTATACCGAAAAAATAAGTGTTCCGCGATTGCTCAGTAAGAGCCTGTTTATTTTTTCATTTTTTTGATTTATGTTTAGTTTTATTCTATCTTTCATTTCATCGTTAAAAACGAGCGAATAAAATCTTTGAGCAATAGTTCAGCAAATAATATTTTTTCATAATCATTTCCTCCATTCGCATTAACAATTCAATATAAAGGGTGTATGTAGATTTATAAACTCTCTATTTGCTTTATTGTTGATTCTTAATAACCTCCTTTATTCTAATCATCTTACTTCAGACTACTGACTTTAACCAGTGCGCTTACGCTCTTCAAGGTGGAACTACCTTCTGTCAACAAACTCAACTAATTAGCTCTTGCAAACTAACTATTAAAGCTGATACCTGCTTTTGCTGTTACGTACATAGAAAGCAAAAATGTGAAAAAACAGTTTCGTAAGTACTAAATGGTCAAAAGTTCCAGATCCTGTCTCTACTGTAACATTTATCTAAAGCTTGAAATACCGCTTACTCTAGAATTTTTCTTTATTACTCGAGCTTCTCCTATAATTTCCCGTTAACTGTTCAAGGTTATTTATATAGATCAATGTCCTGCTAGCTTTATAATATGATATACAGGCCTGTTCAGATTAATACATTTATCTTGTAAAGGTAGTCTGAAAATGGTAAATATGAATTATTTATCTGAAATTCTGGTAAGCCTATCCTTAAAAGCTACTTATTATTAATATTAGAGACGACCGAGTGTGTTTATATGAATACAATTTACGTAAAGAGAGATGGGGAATGAAGTAAACAATACGATAGGGAGATCTCTTCTCCTTTTCTAGTTCTTTTATTCCTCCACATTTCTATTAATTTTGAAAATGATAAAGAGCTTCATTTGCATCGATCATTTTTAAATTAATTTGTTTAATTAAAGGATAGAAAAAAAAAACAACAGAGAGTAAAAGGTCAAAGTTAAGTAATATAGAAAAGAGAAAGAATTCTAAATATAGCGAATGAAAACAATATTTTTCTTGTTTAAAAACAATTTATGCAGGCTACATTGATCTATATATTTATACTTGTATTTACTTATTCCTATTTATAGTACCAATTGATTCTTCTTCTTTTTCAGTTTAGCGACACAATCTAGTGAATATCAGGGTGTGAAATCTTGTGGTGAAATTGAAGGTAGATTTCAATCCCTGCTATGGGCTTCTATGATATTATGCATTATTAATTTTATGATTGGAATCGCTTCTATGATTTTAATTAGTTATTATAAATCTTCTTTACAGGTAAGAAAATAATAATAAAATGCTACTTTTATTAGTATTTATCTACATAGTTTACGTACAATAAGTAATGTAAATATTCAATGTTTTCTCTATTAAAATTATAGTCTGTGGTACCTGATGAACAGAATCGTAATAATAACAATGGGAATACACTGGATGATCAAAGCCAATTGCCTAACTATTATCCAGATACTCCAATATCTATAATAAAACCTCCAGGTAAGTGTTAAATACTTGTTCTGGACTAATATTGTAAAAGTCTATATTATATGTAGTCAATATAATATATAGTATATTCATTTACTTTTCTAAACAGATTACGAAGAAGTAATAGCAGAAAGCCAAAGTAGACGAAATAGTTCTACTAATGATGGTGAAGGAATAAATCCAAGACAATCCTGTAGCTCCTGTCACGGATCTAACCCAATTAATCTCATGCCACCCGTCCACAGCGATCCCCCTCCTGCATATACTCCATAACAATTGAGAAATATACATTAAATCAAACGACGATAGACAAAAACTATTAAAATAACAATATTTTTTTATAACCATTGAATGCTCAAAAGTAAATCATCGGCAGAATATATTAAAAATAAAAAGGAAAAGAGAAAAGGTGGTGATCGATTACTTGTAAAAAATTGAATGTATTTGTTTCTGGTTCGTTTTGTTTTTTTAAAAAAAAAAACAAAACAGAATGATAAAAGTCACTTTAATTCTATTTTATTATCATTTAATTTTTGCAAATAAACGTTTAAAGAAACTAAATCAAATAGATACTTTATATACAGTATAAATGAAAATAATAATAGTTTATGGTAATTAGCAATTGTAGATTGGAGTTAGTATTAATTCATTAACATTAGTCATACTATATAAATACATATATCGTATTGATATCAACTAAGACAATAGAAAATGATATGGATATATTGATGTATTGTGAAATTGACGAGAGAAATAGAAGAGAGAGAGACAGAGAGAGAGATGTATATATACAAACATATGTACAGTATATACATTCATACATACATGCATACATACATGCATACATACATACATACACATAAATACATATGCACACAACGAAGTTAGAAGCAAAAGACAAAGGTAGGTAAAAGAATTAAATTAAGTACTAAAGAAATCAATTTTCATTGTATTTCTCCCTCTTTTCTTCTTAATCTCCTTCTCAAGGTTAGATAATTAATTACCTGGATGAAAACTTTAAGGACATTAATAATTATTACATATTTTTTTATTCTTAAATATAATAAATACAACATATTTCCTTATTTAATATCTTTTATTGTATATTATAGACTGATTAATATACAGCTTTTCTATATAATCTTCAAAAATTGAACTTTAAGTGACATAATATTGTTCTAAGCTAGTATAGAATAATAAAAATTTCTCTATAATATTTCATAATAATTATCTTGGATTACAGACGAGAATGACTTCTTTTTATAATATTACAGGAAGAGAAAGTTGGAATTTTTTTTCTTTCTCTGTCTCATAATTTAGATAAAGGTCTTGTCATTTTGCAAAATAAAAAATGCGCATATTTCATATGATATACTTTGTCATATTGTATAATAGAGTTCAGTATAATAATTGTTCTATTTACGTTCTTTATTTAACCATTGATTAATAATAGATCAATCCTAGTAAGCACTATTTTTTAACTAGACTACTAGATAATTCTAAAACGGGATTATTATACATTTCTTGAAAAATAATATTCTGTTTAATCTTTAATATAAGAGAATTTCTCTCTTCTTTTTATATTAAAAAAGATTTATATTGACACTTTTTTTTGAATAGTAAAACAAACAAATATAACGTTTATAGAGTTTCTTTATAATAAGACCTATACAGTGAAGATAATAGGTTCGCTTACATGACTATATATCAAGAAAAAAATAAGAAAATATATATTTTATTATAAATAATGAATACTATCTGTCCAAAGAACAATAAATCGTATTGAAATAAAGAGATCGCTAATCCATTATGTTAAAACGTCCTGTTTTTTATTTCAACGTCTAACTAGCAGTTGTAATCAATTAAAAGACTTTATTATAAAACCGACGATTGCAATACACAGCTAACTATAGAAAGTATAGTATATAAGCAAGATACAGTGTTTTATGCATGATATGCATATATCTTACCGTTTTCAATAGATCTTATTCAATACATCTATGTATATATGTTGTTATAAAATAGATAAAATAATCATCCAGCTTATATCATTCATTAGGTATAATTCAATTAATTTGTTACACTAGGCTAATAGGCTAATACGGATAGAGGAAATACTTCTAAAAGTTTCTTAAAGATAAGGTCATAAGAACATTGTCCTATCAAGTCCATTACTGTGCAAAAGGATTGCAGCTATCAGAACTGAAAAGTGTATTCAGAAAGAAATTCAAGAATGTACGACCACAAACTATCTTCCAATTCCTGTGAATATATGCTTTTTAAAAAAGCTATATCAAATATGGATCCTACTGAATATGCAAAGGCTTAAATAACTTAGTAGTACTTGAATAATATTGATTTTAAAGAAAGAGCTTATCCTTATGAAATATGTACGTACGGCTGATCAGATTTATATAAGACGTTGAACATCATTAGTGAACAGAGTTGGCAGTCCTAATATCATATAGTTAGTAGGATGGAGTGTGATAAAGAGAAAATTTGTAATGTTTATATTCATTGATCGAATAGCATAAACAAAAAAGTGAGAACTTGATATGTTATTGACAATATTAATAACATAAGAAAGAGATGATAACACATAGAAGAACAATTGAAAATTATGAGTAATTTAATCAACGATGAACTCTTACTTAAAACGCTAAATGGTTTAACAAGAAATGTTAACATTTTCATATATCCTGCTTGTTTGTAAACAATATTTATATTTGAATAGTTAGAAAATCAACTATACTTGTATTACAGGAGTAAATGTAAACAATAGTACATTTTCATTATGAACGCTTGTATTATAAAATATTATTGAAAAGTATCGTTTCCTGTCTACAATTTTTTTGGAAAGCGACGCAAAGAGTAAGAAAATATAAAGTAAAGTGGCTTCGGTGCAAAATAGACGCTTTGAAATGGTAATTTAAAAGCAATAAATAGTAATCTTTAGGATAAAATGAAAAAGTAAGAGCGTCTTTCATACTACACTGTACAATGTCTAGTATAACGTATCCCATAAGAACACTACTTGCGAAAAGTATCTTTTCTGTGAAAAAAAAAGTAACCTACGAAACTAACTAGGCTAACGGAAGACCCAGTAAAATGACCATATTCATATAAATGTATAGATAGATACGGAAAATTTATTCTTAGTCTAAATGTAGTACATTCTATTAAGAATTCTTAAGGATCAATAAATGAAATAATTAAAAACCCCAGATATCGAACGTTTACCTATATTGTGTGGATAGTATTTATAGGTATTTTGTTTCTTTTACAATTTAGTACTACTATCGCCCTCTATCTGAGACAGATTAAATTAAGCTGTACTACTTAATATAGGGGAAATAAAAAAATGTTGTATCGTATATTTGTTTTGAGCCTAGAAGACACTATTGATAAGTCGTATTAAGATAAGAATCATCCAGCTTAATCTTTTAAAAAAATATGTAACTTTAAATAACCTGTATTAGAGCAAATGTAGATATAAACAAAGAAATTAGTATTTTAAGTGATATATTATTAAATATTCATATCATTACGTTGCTAGAGTAATAGTAAAACTTCATTTTTAATTAGTCTATTTAATAAACAGTTACTTTTGGATGAATTAAATTTTTACCAGCTAAATAGTTAAAGCTATTATAAATAATATCTCTCAAGTACTATATCCATTTAATTATACAAGCGACTCTAAACAAGATGAACTTGCAATGTACCCAAGATCAAGATTTACACGAGCGTCTACATAGAGCAATTCTATAATTATTATATATTATACTTGCTTTATACAAAATATATATATTAGTATATACATTAATACTAGGTCATTTTCTTTGAAGAAAGAAAGAAATTCTTATTGTTAGCATCAAGTGCAGATAAAATCCTTTCCCTTCAGATTTATAGATTTATTCCATGAGCTAAAATTTTATGGTACTTTATATTCCAATAATATATATATATATTTACTGTATAAAACTCTTAAGAGACTATAAAACAATCAGTTGGATAAATATATAAAAGAAAACTATTACAAAAAAATAGGATGTTTGTTAAGGATGTTCATCTGGAATTTTAATTATTTAGTACATTTTTATTTTTTAGTTAACTTGATTGTTAATTTTACACACGATATGACGAAATACATCTCTCTCTCTCTATCTCTCTATCTAGATATATGCAGTATATATTAGTATAACTATATGAACGAAAAAAAGCAAATTTATAGAATAAAAGAATATATATTTATTATGTAAATATATAATATTCTCTGTAACAGTTACTATTTATTATATAGAAGAAAAATAACTACCTAAATACTATTTATTAAAAAAGACTATATTATAAGTTATAAAGCCTAAATAGAAAAAAAAAGAGCTTAATACTCACTGAAACGATAATAATTTACTTGAATTAACAAGTACAAATTATATATTATGTTATATAAATTGCTACAGTTTAACGATAATTGTTAACCTTTATTTATACAGAAAGAAGAATAAATGACAGAGATATGGTATAAAGGAAAAAGAAAAAAAAAACAATATAAAAGTACAATGCTAGAGCGTAATTCATTTGTTTTCTTCTGTTTTTTTTTTTTTATCATTTACGACAATCGATAACTTAGAGGAAAAGAACAATTTTTTTTCATCAATCAATAAACGCCATATTGACAGTCTAAAGAAAAATAATAATAAAAAAAAAAGAGGATTAACCCATCTTAATATTATAAAGTATTTTATTTAAATTCAATAAATTTCTTATAAAATAAAAAAATAAATAAGGAAATATTTCTATGATAAATTGACTTTTTTAATATTCCGATAAATTTTTTAATAAAAAATGTGTATTTATAGAAGAAAGATTATAGGTTTAAGTGGTAAATGTATATATATATATATATTAGTATATACACGTATATACTTTATTGATACAATATATAATTTAACATTAACAGTAGTCTAAATCACTTACTTGATTAATTAATTGTTTTATATTTATCAACTATATAATTTCCTTTATTCGGCTAATAAAGATAAAATTTTTATATCTCTCCCACCCTAGAAGTATATATAGAATCAAAAGTACATATTTGTATTTGACATCTATTAATATGGAAAATTTTAAATCAATATAATTAGATTTTTCCTTCCTTCCTTCCTTCCTTCTTTTTTTATTTATTGAAGAAAAAAATCAAATAGAAAACTTCATATTAAAACAATTTACTCTATTTTACTTCATAAATATTAGAAATCAATATCATGAAATGAAAGGGAAGATTAGAAATTATACAGTTTAATTAGACGCCAGTGGGTGTTTTCTACCGCTCATACTGTTTATCTTATACAGTATACTGTATATACAGTATTTTCTCTCTTTCGTTCTCTTGTCTTGTTTTTTATTCATATTTATCTTTAGTTCATATGTCAATTTTTTTAATATAAACTTATACATATGTCAGTATATAGCTTTGCTATATGTACTTGTATATAAAATCTTTTGAAAGTTGACATTGAGCGAGCTATTTAAGTAAAAATAATCTTTAAAACTTGCTACATTTTAAACATAAGTATAGCCTTTAAGTCTTTAAATCTAATTTATTAGCATGCCATTCATATAAATTCAAGAAATATTAATAGAAAAAGCAATTATACAGTATAACCTTTAATCATGATTTCTATCCGTCTTTTTCTTTCTACAATGTTTTCTTTATCATATTTTCCGCCCACTTTTTTCCATTTCATAATACTCATTTAATTAAACGCTTAATATAGATTTATTATTATTATATGCAAATGATTGAAAGAAAGATCGAGAGAGAAGCAGAGAATTAAAGAGAACATTAAAATAATTTTCTTTCAATCGTTACAAAAACTATTGTTTAGGTTTTCTTGTCTTCCTCATTCATTTTGCAAAATTGTTATAAAATAGAAACTGCTTGTCAACTACTAAAAAAGAGCTTTAAAAATATCAATTATACTGCATTTTTTATCATGGAAAAATTTCTCTTTATATTGTTCTTCCAAACAACATTGAACTTATTATTGAATAATGAAGTTGAAAAAATTAGCCTTAACCTCTATAAGAGATTGTATATAAATATAATATTGTATGTTATAAACTGTGCACGATGAAAATGAAGATACTATACACCAACCGAGATTTGATATATACATCATCTATTGACATTTTGGGTGTGATTTATCAACATAGATATATTTAAAGAATTAAAGAATCCATAAAAAGAAACAAAATATATCTTTACTATTCGTTCGGTGAATAGGCTTTTAACTGACATATGTAGTGATTCCGCTCTGAGAAGCTATCATTATCCCATTCTCCATTAGGCTCGATCGAAACATAATATTTTGATTTTACTTTCTTCTTGAAATTACAAAATGTTACCTTTAAGTTATTTTTCTCCCATCGAAGAGAACGTTGCTTATTGTCATTGTTCAAACCAATCCAATAATTAAACACTGCTGATAATTCTAATGATTTTATAGCCGTAATAAAATCTTCCTTCTTCTTGAAATATAGCGTTGTAGCATTTGGGTGTTTTCCAATACATTTATCTTTAATTTCGTATTGGTGAGCAGTCTCAAATGTCTTAGATTTATAAAAGCATAGCGATAATTTTAAATTATAAACAAAATGCTTAGGACAAGTTTTACGACATTCAATTGAAAAATCACTTAAAAAACATTTCTTATCGTTTGAACAAGTTGTGCACAATTTAGAAAATTTGTCACCGTAAACAATAGAATCAACACTATTAGTTCTTTTAATTAACCACGATTTTTCATATATCCTACTGGAATCATCAATAAAATTATCATCTGGATAGTATAAGCATCTTTTTGATTTTAAATAAATAACTAAATCGCATCTTGGTTCATTTAAACAAGAACTTAAACAATATATTTTACTACGAGCTTTAATACTAAAAATCTCCATATTTCTTGGATAAGATAATACTTGCTCTTGACTTGTATAAGCGAAATTACGAAATTTAGTCCTTTGCCAAGAGGGCACTTGTAAGGCAATATTTCCTAATGTTAGGAAAAGTAAACTATATAACGTATAGATGAACATTCTTCTCCCTTATTTAATCTTGTCTCACCACCTGATTTCAGTCAGTTAATGAAAAATTTGAAGTAATTGTAATTTTAATTATATAACAAAGAATATTTACTATCTTCAACAATACTACTACTTAAATATACATACATTTAACTATTAATGTGTTTAATTCTTGTATCAATATGATTAGCAGAGATTTATAGAATAAGGGGAGAAAAATAGAATTATTAGGACAATTTCTTTTATAGTCATACTATAATAATCTATATTATTTCATTGATTTTTAATTAGTCTAACAATGAAAATTTGTTTTCTTTATGTGAAACTTACTTATCACAATTTGAAGAGAATATGTAACGTTTATTGTCGCCTACGTAATTGCGAAATACGTTTGTCTATTTTATGATTAGTTAAGGAAGTCTATCTTTTTTTTATTTAAGGCTCTTCAAAATGGATAGAAGTAATTGTTTTATTTGAAAATTTCCCTATACTACTACTACTACTACTACGACTGACAAAAAAAGTTGGGCAGGCAGGGAAGAAATATTGTAATAAAGATAAAATAGAGGATAGAAAGAGAGGAAATGAAGGTAAATGCTTATAAAGGAGACTTTTCTACTAATTTCTCAAAGACGGGAGAATCTTTTGAAGAAAGCCTATACTATTTATTTATAGAAACTATATCAACGAGCTATTACGAAACAATCGACAAATATTAAGCTTTGAAGTTAGTTCAAGGTTATCTTGATAATGTTCTGCTTATATAAATATATGGTTGAAAATGGATTATAAAAACTTGCATATATAATAATATTTTACATAGTATAAGTCTACAATTGATATAATATGAGCTGTATAAAATACCGCGTAGATATACTGTACGTATAGTCTACAATGTTTCCTCTGTAATGTAGGCATACATTTTATTCAAACTCTCTGAAAGAATCTATCTATGAAATGAGAAGATTTTTAATGTTTATTACTAAAAAGGAAAAAATAGAACTAGATTTATGCCTATCAGTATAGAAGAGGATATTGACCTATTCAGTCAGAATTTATAGGACTTTTTTCACTTAAAATGCCCTAAAATCATCTAGCTTTGCGACAACAATAACGTTATTCGTAAACAAAATATGATCATTTACTAGTTGAGGCTATCGATTAGAAATTAGTCCTATACGCAGTATATATATATAAATATATACCCTACAGGATATACATGTTGTTTTTGTGCCGGTAAATTTTTATCCTACTACCGCAGAGATTCAATTTTCTATTGAAGATTTTAGGGGAAAAAATTGTACAACGGTCACAGATTAGATAAAAATTCAGTGCCTAGATAAGCCAGAATGAATTATTGAAGAGTAGCGATATGTCGGAAGTAGGCCTAATAGGACAAAAAAAAGGAGTAACACTGATCTGTAAACAACCTTGAAAAATTGCAGTATAATTTTTTTCATTGCAGTATATATAAAGTGAATGATAATTTAAAAATATATATATGTATATATAATAATTATAAAGTAATAATTAAATAAAAGAGAGGAAAAAAATGTAGGTGGAAAAAAATCTAAATTTGGGAAAACTTCTTTTTTTTAGTTATTTAAAAAAATAAGTAGAGTAGGAGCGGGAGAAATAAAGCCGTAATAAGAAATGTAACACGTATACCAGTCCTGAGGACAAAGGCCGGTTTTCGAGAATATAAGAAAAACAAATACATATATAATAATATAAAGATCCGCGATTGTTTTGTTTTCTTTCCGAATCACAGTCGAAAAAAATAGAATTTGTACACTCTCTACGCAAAAAAGACTGGGTAAACTAGATAAAATTTCCACTACAGTTGGCGGCTACAGTCAAAGAGAACAAAACGTCGATCGTCTTCAAGTATTATAAAACGAGTATGCAGAAAAAGTCACTTTTGCATATTCATTTTGTCCAGGGGTTGATGCTAAAAGGTTTAAGGGTATCTATCTATCGACAATTTCTTCATCTTCACCGAACTCCGCCTCTACGTCTACTTCTTCTTCTTCTTCCATCTGTACAAAGTTCTTGGGCACAAACTCCGGTGCGTTGGGATTGAGTTTACTGTTTCGAACAAGGTCGTCCAGGTAACGAAGGACCTGTTTATAACAGAAAAAAAATACTAATATATAATAACAGTAAAATAACAAATAGATTAACCTCTTTAATATTGTCTTAATCTAACAGTATACGGATAGAAATATATACATTTATATATATATATATATAAGAAAAATCAAAGCCTATGAAACTAATATTCAGCTAGAATTAAAAAAAAAGTTAATACGTGTTATAATTCACATTATGCGACTTTAAAACATACTCTGTTTGATAGAGTACATGGTGTTCTTTTGAATGTCTGCACTATGTAACGCTTAGAAATTGTCCTACGTTCCAAGTTTATACTGTAATAAATTAAATATCATAGATAAGGGATATTTTATGTTATTTTCATTTAGATTTGCCCATACTGTTTCTATTAGTCTGGTAAGACTTCTACATCCACTTATAGATTTATACATACATACATATACATATACATCGTGCCAGTATATTAATAATTAGGTTTTGTGCCTATCTACTAAAACTATGCGAATAATCAGGTGCTACCATTGTTTTGCATAAGTGCATATAAACACATATTCATAAATATATATACTTTATACATATGCATATGTATATGAAGTAATAAGAATATCGAATAGGAATAAATAAGAGACGGTAAAAAAGAAAACCAAGAAATGAGAGAAAGTGGAAGATGCATACTTAAATTAGTGTATATCAATTCTTTCAAAACTATAAATATTTTATAAACATAGACTGCTGTTTTCTCAATACCTTTTATATTGATTGATTTTCAATTTTTTGAAATTATAATATTGAAAAATACTTGCCTGTGCCAAAGGAATTCCGTCATCATCCAGGGCAAAGTCGATATAATAAACGACTTGCTGTTCTAAAAATTTTTCAAATTCTTCCTCCATTTCATATTGTTCTTCAAGCTCGGCTACGACTTTGCGGTCGAACTCCTCAAGCTCTTCCCCCATCCAAACGTATTCGGAAAAATCCGTTTCCTCTTTTATTTCGGGTATGCGCATGACTAATTTCAAGCCAAGTTGAAAATTATTCCGTAAATTTCGATGTTTGACAACGTACCTTTATTACTCTCTGCAGTGAAGAAGAAAGAAACTGCCAGACTGTGTTTACAAGCAGAGCCCAATTACAAGTTTTGCTACGCAGTCCGAAACAAAAATAGTTCCAATGTATATGGCGAAATTTCTGTGCTTATTTCAGATGTTATGTGACAAGATTGTGTTTAATGATGTTTACCGATCTCTCTTAAATTCAAAAGCATGTATGACGATGGAAATGTATAGGAATTTTCAAAAATTCAAATCGCGTATGAATATAGTGTTTTCATTGAAAGACGATTGGCTACTTGCTCCACTTTCACACTATTTGGTAAGAATGAAAGTAGGTTTCGTAACCTTATCATGGCAATGACTATTGTTAATTGTTTATAGTCTTTTTTAATATCATTCTCCTTAACAAAAGCTCTATATCTCTGTTCACATAGCAACGTGATTATCAAGTCATGTTTACTTTTTGCAAAATAGCATTTTTGGTCATTTTACATTTTGCAGTAGGCCTGATTTTGTCCTAGAGTTAACTCACATTTAACACAAAACTTTTTTTCTTATTCGATACTCTTCAACACTTTTTTTATCGTATTCTAAATAACCAAGCCTTCAAACTATATGGCTAACATCTTTCTTTTTTATTACATTTATTTTATTAGTTAATAATTATTATTCCTCATTGTTCTGTCTTTCAAATCTACTTTTCTCATATTTCAAAACAATTTTCTATCAGTTATATTTTTGTACAAATTACCTTTTTTAAAATGAAAAAAAAAAAAGAAAAAGATAGAGAAAGAGAGAGACATGACACTATTATCATTTCATTAACTTTAATAAACCTAAATATGAAGGAATGAGTAGATAAATATAATTTCAACAACTTCACACCAATTTTTTTGCTTCGAAGAAACCTTTCAAATGTCTCATTTGCCAAAATCCAGTTCCCAACAATATAACAGTTTGAGCAATGGACCACCACAAAACCCGTTGATTAGTTGATTCCGAAGTTTGCCTAAATCTTTCTTCTCTATAACGTTGATAATTCTGCTCCTTAGTTATTTGCTCTACTTGATCCAAAAGTTGTCTAATTCTTGTTTCTAAATCACTTAGTTTATCTTTAGCTGCAATTTGTTGATAATCGTTGGCATGTTCGCCAATTTCAATATCCAAATGAACACGTAGTTGACCACCGCCAAACCAAGCAGTTGAATTACTATGAAGGCAAATTGTATGCTCTCCAGCCGAATGTGATGTAAATGTAAATCGGCCTTCGGAAGCGTATGTCTAAAGAGATAAAAATTGATATATAAAAATTTTGTAAAACATGTCTAATTGCATCATTCGATTAAAAATAGTTTGAATAAATTTTCCTCAAAACCAAATAAAAACAGGGAATATGCTGGTTTATTTATTCTTCTTTTTTTTAAATTATCGTACTGAATGTAAATTAAAATAAACAAGCTATAATATAATTTAATAGTTTGTTTACTATTTTAAACTGTTGCTAATTTACAAAGAAATTAAAATAAAAGAAATAAATATTTCCTAATTGGTCATGCAAGTTTAAAAAACTAACTATAACTGTGCAATAAATCTTATCATATAAAGGTTTTCTTCTCTGTACACCCTCTTTCTACATTTTAACATTATATTGTAAATTTACATTTTTTAACTAAAATATTCTATTTATCGTGATAAATGCAAATCATTAAAAAAATTGGCGATGTAGAATTTCTATCTTTTATGAAACGAACACTTTCGTTTTTCAAAACAACTGAAAACCTGCTACACGCAAAATATCTGTTGAAATATCTTATGGTCTCTAAGATATTCGTTAACATTCGTTGTACGGGAAAAAGGAATGCAAAGTAACCCACACCGAACCATAAATAATATAAATAAAAAATTCTGCACAACCCATCAATCTAGGCTACGGATAGAGAAGGAGGGAATATAAATATTTTCTACAACTTATTCCTCTCCCTTACCCTTGACAATACAACTGATTCGGAAGGATCTTTGATTTCGACGTGCATTCCTAATCCAGTTGTTGTTGTAACGAAATCGTTTATGTTCTTATCGAATCTTAGAACTTTGTATTTGCCTGTTAATAAATAAGAAAAAATGAAAAAACATTTACTTTTGATAGGACAACTTTCTGCTCGGGATCTGTTATGACAACGTGCATCCCCAGTCCACTAACGGTTTCCACGTATGTATTACGGTTTTTATCAAACATTTCAACACGATATTTACCTGAAATAGTGTTATTATTATATGAATAGTCAAGTAAAAACATATGCTTGTGTCATCTGTTGATCCACGTTGAATTTCTTCTCATATAAATGCAGATGGCGCAAATTTTACTTGTTTGTCAAATGATATTTTGGAGGGAAAAGGGTCAATCTTGTATTGACTCTCATAGTATTAAGGCATAGATTATAAAAATTCGCAAAGATTCCTTAAGAACGTGATGTTTAAGGAAGCCGTATTTGGAGATCGAAAGATCTAATAGAAATCTTAACAATCTTACCGACAATCATAGTTTCATCAGGAACTTCCTCGATAAAACATTTTTTCTCTGTTTCGGCTATATGAAAATATAAAGCCGAACAGCTGTATAACATAGAATATAGAAGAACTAGAGATATCTTTACGGGCATTTTGTACACGACGACCGGAACAGGAAACAAGAGCCTCTAAGTATCAATAGACTGGTTACCAATGAAATTTAATTTTGTGGTGACAATTTTTCGATCATGGACAATACAAAACTTTAAAAATAATTCTTTAGAAGTGTTTTAAAATAGCTAAAATGATTGAAAATAATTTTGAGATTTTTCAAATATTACATCTTTTCATATTTTATATTTAAGTGCTGAATGTTGGTCACGTGTTTATAGGCTTCCATGTTGAAATAAGGAAAATGGGAGTAGATGTACAATGAGATTTTAAGCCTGGTTTTTACCTTAAAATTGTTTATAATTAATTAAGGATTTTAAGAATATTTTTAATTGCTTCTGTCAATATGGTAAGTTTATAGTAAAGAGATAAGTAATCCATGACTATTTTTAATTGATTATTTCTTAATTTTCCTATATAACTAGTAATCATTAAAATATATTCATTTTTTTCAGACTTTTAGTACAGTTCCAATACCGTCCCATATTACTGCATTGTACATTTTTACTGTTCTAAATTTATTTGCCATGTTTAATATAAGCCTGGTCCATGGAGATGTCAACATCGTTCGTATAAATGATTCATGAACACAAAGCAATTTTCCAATATACTATAATTTTATATCCATTTAGATGGACAATAAAACAGATTCAAGAGTTGCAACTTATGAAGATCAACCAGCAGATTTTGGTCCATCTATTAAAAAAGGTGTTAGCGTAAGTACGATATATTATAATTAAAATTTTATTTAAATATATGTTCGTTAATTGTTGTTTTTGTTATTTGAAAACAAAAGGCTTTCTACGAAATAGCCAAACCAAAGGATGGCTGTAGCAAATTAGAAAAATCTCCCAAAGGTAAAAAATACTTTGTCATTATTGAAAGATCTTTGAAACATAAGAAAACTTGTGATTTTGGTGAAAAAGTAAGTAAATAAGATCAATGGCCTGTGCTATTTATTTATATTATTTATTATTTATTTAAGGTTTTAAATGCTCAAATTGCCGGATATTCTGGAGTTATAGTTGCAAATTTAGATTCAAATACATTAATTACAATGACAGGAGGGAACTGTAGGTTTATTTATTTTTATTGTTAGCATATCTGTTTGTAACTTGACAACATTCTTTAACAGATTCCAATAGGATTAGGATACCTTCGTTATTGATTGGATTTGATAGTTACAGAGATATCGTTCTAAATTATCTCAATACATCAAGGTAAAGTCTTGGTAATTTTACTAACCTATAAATAACTTGTTTTGCTAGAACATTTAAGACGAATTCTCCTTTTAATGTTTTACATCAGTCCCTTCCCTTCTTTCTTTCTTATTTTTAACAAATAGATTATCGTATTTCGGTATTCCTTATTTATTTTAATCTACTTTCGAGATTGATAAAATACTCTTGATAACAGAAAATAAAAATAATGCTAAAAATCCATTTTCACAACAGATACCATCTGTATATAGACGAAAGGAGTAGTTTTAATATTCTCCTTTACCTATGGCCGTTTGCAATTGTTATATCGTGTGCTTTTTTTGGATTATGCCTATTTCTGGTAAGTTTAAAAGGTTACACTATATTTTGAAATTTGTATAAAATCATAGATATTAGTTGACTAAGACATAAATGAAATGTACAGTAGTATATATCTAAATATATTCTGTGTATATTGTCAGTTATCTCTAGTGCAATAGAAAATAAGCTTTCTAAACTTAAATTCTAATTTTTCTCCTCTGAAGTAAAACGAGCTTTGTCACTTATTTATTATTGCTTTATATATATATATATATATATACTGTATATATATATATATAGTATATAGATATACAGTATATTATTAATATGCAGTATATAAACTATTATGTTAATTTTTTTACAGAAAGACGGCTAATTATTAGGCAAACATATTTTCTTTATCTTTTTAATTATTAAAATGATTTTAAACGTTTCTGCCCTTCGAAATTTTATATAGAAATGATAAAGAAAGCTACAGAGAAATTAATTTTAATATTTAAATATGTATACAGTATATACACTTTAATTAGAATGCTAATTAGCATACATATTCTATTACATTTATTTATTTTTTTAGCTAATATATACAGATTGTTTTTTATCCTTTTATCCCACTTTATTTAAACTAAACATTATGATTATCCATATTTAATTAGATATGGCCGTCATCATGCGCTGATTATGTAAGTGACACTGCAGTGTTTTTTTATATTAATAATTTTATATATGAAAACATATATACTCTAAATATATCCATATATATATATATATATACTGTATATATATGTTTTATATATATTTGCACATAGATTTTAGTTATTCGACAATATTTTTTTTTCTCTTTTATTTCTACTATATAAAAAGAATTCATTTCAAACACAAAACGCTTCATTTACCTTTTAAACCTATTCTTATGTTTAGTCTTTCTTCCTGATTTATTATACAAATTTGTGGCTTATATTTTAATTATTCTATTAATTGTTTGTCAAATTATTTAAATTGAAATTTTAAACAACTGTTTGATATATTTTTAGGTTGTTAGAAAAGTCAGGGGATGTAGGAGAACGAGCACTGAAAGGAGGTTAAGAGCTAGAATTGATAAGCTGCCTACTAAGAAATTTTTACAAGGTTTGCTCTTTCTTTTCATTCTTTGTATAAAGTTTTTCTAAAAGAAAATGAATATTTTTAGGTGATAAATATGAAACGTGTACAATTTGCCTTGATGATTTTAACGAAGGAGATAAAGTAAGGATTCTACCTTGCGAACACGGTAAGAATTTATACGAAAAGATTGTATTTCTATTATAGAAATAGATTTTTTTCGTAAATATTTTTATCAATATAAACTATTTTGATAACTTTTTTATCTTGCCTAAGAAATAGACTTAGGCTAAATTATAAATAAATAAATTTTAAGATAGTTGGGGTAAGAATAACCCAAGGGAAAATTTTTTACGGTAATGGTAATAATCGTTATTTTATAACTAATATCAAATTTTCTCTTTTTGTTTTTAAACCATATGTTGAATTTTTCTTCGAAATAGATTAAATAACGGCTTTAACTATTGTTTACTTCGTGTAATTCGAGTTTGAACAAAATGCTTAACCTATATTCATCTTTTGATTATATATTTTTTATAAAACAGCTTTTCATCTCAAATGTATTGATCCTTGGCTGAAAACCCGACGACGAGAATGTCCAATTTGTAAAAAGAGAGTACTTAAAAATGATCCTTCCGAAGAAGAGGATTACGGTAACGATTCTGACGATTCGGATGAGGAAAATGAGATCGTACCCAATAACGGTGGTGGTAGTGAAAATGACCCGTTGCTTGCTAACAGTAATATTCAATACGGATCAACATCCGGAGGTGGTAATATTTATAATGAAACAAATCAAGATAAAAAAATAGCTTATAAGCATAGGTTCAACCCTAAATTAAACTATTTAAGAACCTTTTTAACTTTCTCCCCAATGGACATGCAATAATTTTAGCTACTCATTTAATGAACAAAATACCCTTAAGAGGGAGCTACCATTAAGATAAACTTGATACTTGCTCTGTTACTATCAAGATACAAATGAGAAATATTTCTTTTCAGTTGGAATTTGGGAAAGATTAAGAGAACGCTTCAGAAATAACTCCCCTCAAAGCCCCAGTCATGATTCCGATCCTGCAGATGAAGAGAGAAATATTACAGGAGCTATTCCACATTCCTACCCTCAAGACCAGGCGCGTGTTCATCAGATATATCAGTCTCGATCAAACTATACAGAAATAGGGGCTGATGAGAATGAAGGAGCCGTTGGTGGTTCAAATGATCGGGGGGATGAAATGACTGAGGCATTAGTTGAATCAGATCGAAGAAGGCGGAGGCGGAGGCGAAGAAGGCGCCAAAATGCTATTCAAACAGAAAATTTCGACAGTACGAATCATAGAAATATTGTATAACTTGAAAGCTTAAGTATATATATATATATATATACCTGTTTGTTTTACAAGACTGGTTGAGTGAAATGGTTTATTTAAAGAACTGTAAAGCCTAAGTTGAAGAAAATTTAAAAAAAAATATTGTTTTAACTTCTTTTTTAACTCGCAATAATTTGTACTTTATTTGTTATAGAAAATGAATGTCAATGCAATGTTACATACTATTACATGCAGATAATTATAGCTAGTTTCCTTTCATGTAAAGGTAATGTAGTTCAAAGATTCTGTATCCTTGCTGCATATATATATATATATATATATATATATATATATGTATTATCTAGAGGATATGGTTGTTGATAAACGTATTATCTGTATATATGTGTATGCATATACTTAGTATTGTAAATAACACTTTGTTTTTAATAAACTATGACTAAATAATACTTAAAAGCTCTGTTGGGGCAAATTTTTAACCTCTATACGCTAGATTATAAACAAGATAGACTGCATATTTTCTTATCTTTTAACATCTAACGAGAGCCGCATACTTATTACTTATTACTCTAAATCTACTTTCTTATCAATTTCTTATCAGTATTTTACTACTCGCAACAAGAGAATAATATTTAAAAAATGTTACAGCCGCTAGATGTCTCTACGATTTCGCAATTATAGAGGAAAAGTAAAGGCAGGAAAAGGATTGTTAGTATAGATTTGAATACATATCGTCAAGGAAATTAAATGTGTACTTTTTCTCTCAGTACTTTCACTTAAAATCTTTTAAAATATTGAAAACGGAAGTGGGAGGTTTCTCTATCGGCTCAACTAAAAAAAAAAGCCCTGGAAGAGTGCGACGTATCTGCTCGATCTAGCGCTTTTAAACGATTTTTCTCGCACTTCATACCCCGCCTTAGGGGGCTAGTTTTTAGAATTAAAAAAAAAACTGAGAAAGAGAAATATAGAATATGTAGAGACAGAAAGGGGAATAAAAGAGAGAATGAGAAGTATAGATAGAAAATGTTGAATAACTGAGTAAAAGTAAAAAAAAACAGGGGAAAAAATGCCCTATTGCTGCATCTGTTCTATTAATTTACAGTCAAAAATGTGCTGAAGGGGATTTAAATTATAAAAAGAAGTCAGGTGTTTGTGTGACGATCTACAGATACCGTATTAGTTTAAATACTGTTTTTTATTTATTGTATAAGTTTTAACCTTTCTGTGTTCTCTCTCTTTTTTTCCCTTCTCTTTCAATATACCAAAAATACGTTTAAAATACATTCAGTACACTTTCGTACATATGTTCGTTTCATTCTATTCGTTCAAGTTCTTTATCGTTATACACGTCTCTCTCTACGTTGAATGGACTTAAAAATATGGGTGATTTCATTCTCAAGGGTTGTTAAGTTAGCGTGCCACTTGTATAAAAGGGTTTACATCTACTATAATAGTTAATCCATACGATTTTTTCTCTACCTTCTATTAGTAAACACGCTTTAGTACCCACATATTATGGAATATATACTATATACAGTATATCTACAGTATAGTATATAATAAATATAATGGTATATATATAGTATACACTATTTAATCTTTCATGAATAGCACATGGCTAACTTTTACAAAAATTGATACAGTCGTAAATTACATAAAAGGGAAGGTATTTCTTATTTAAAGGTGAAAAAAGAGAGAAAGAGTTTAAAAGGGAGAGTAGTAGACAATTACATAATAAATTATACGTTAAGGAACTACAAAGTGAAGATTTTCGGTCTTTTTTCTTTATTCTTCTGACAAGTTCGTTGAAAAGAACTATATGGATGATTTCACACTAAAGAGATTGTTAAGCGTATGTTTAATAATTCAAGAATCTTTCTATATAGATATTATAAGCTACTTGCTAGATAGAAATTATCAATTCTCTTTTTTTAGGATAATCTTTTACATAGAAAGGGTTCAAGTGGAAGGACATGCTTCATAAAATTATGATAGATTAGTATACACAGGATTATAGTGAAGAAATGGGCTAAAGAATAGCAAGGGACTGAGAGGGGGGAGGGAGGGAGGGAGGGAGGGAGGGAAGGTGAGGGGAAAAAAGTTTAATATTGTTAAGAGGCCAAGGTCGAACGGGGTCGCACGCGCTATTCGAGTGTCATGCCTAAACGTCTTAGGCTCTACCAACTTGAAAATCCTCTCATCCGCAACTAAAAAAACAAGTTGAGGAGATATGTGAGCGTTTTTTTATAAACGTCTCCATATTTATATAGTATAGAGATTTCACGAAGATTTATCGCGGTAAAAGAAAATCTCCTTGGGACGCTAAGAAAGATTTCCCTTGGGTTATATCGGCCTACGTTTCTCCAACTAACTGTTTGTTCTCCCTTAAAAACTAAAGTCACGTAAGGTTCAGAAAAGGTTAATGGGCGATGTAGTTTAATTGCACGTTTACCAGCTGTAGTTTTTCCCTCTTTTCTTTTAACGGTAATTAGATACGCGTCAGTTCCGGGCGGACTCTTTCCTTATCAACAAATGCCTTATAAATATACAAAAAAAGGGACTCTAATAATATTTGTGTATAAATTTCTATTTTTATCTATATTTACTTTAAATATAGATGTTTGGCTGTTGAATATTCATTAGAAATTCTAATTAAATAATTACTCCTCCCCTTTGTAACAAGTATATTAAGAGAATTTCTATACGTAATGCTTATCTTTTTCCAGTGTAATTTTATCTCCATATGTTTCGCCGTATGTTTCACTGTTAGCGATTAGGAAGATAAAAAAAGAATAAAAACAAAATGTCAAATCTGTTAAAGACAACAAACGTTACTTTCTGACATAAAGACGCCTGGCGTCTGTTTAATAACGTTGATAAAATGATGCTAATCCCACTCTTATTTTCTATTATCTACTCAAAATATAGAGGCGCATAGCGGTAATTAGAATATTTTTTAGCCCTCTTTTTTTTATTATATCCTAAACTTTTGTTAACGAATATATAAACGGTATAGACTGCTGTATAGGTGTCGCTGTCGTCGATGAAAGGCATGAGTCTGGTATTGCGCCTGGGGTCGAGCCCCTTTATTCTCACCTTTTTGCGTTTCCTCAAATCATTCACTTGTCATAAACTGAGGCGTTGAGGCGTTTAAATTGCGCAATATAATCAATTATCAACGAGAAAGATTACGGACATTTTCGCTAAAACCGGAAAGTTTCTGATAACAGTCACGCCAAACGGCTAAATACTGAGCAATTGGCAGTTATAAGTGAGGTGTGGAACAGGAGCGAGGATATGGGGGGTAAAGGGGTGGGTAAGATGGGTGTGGATAATGGGAAAGAAGAGATGAAGAAATGGCTCTCAGGATAAGAATCTAGGGCGATAATTGACGAGATACGATACAAAGAGATAGGCTGCTTTGTTGAGCTAATAAAGAATTTAGTAAGCAGACCCAACAATTAAAAAAACCTTCTAGAATTATATGTATTTAAAAAAAAGGGTACAACATCTGTTCATCTCGTGCCGCGGAGAAAAAGCGTTCGTTATCGGCCTTTTATCTACTAATTAGTATCGAATATCGGACTGCGTGCGGCTTTGCGTGATCATTATTCTTTCGCCAAGTGTTTACAAATCTCATAGTCGACTGTACGATACTAGAAGTTAAAGGATTCCCTATTAGAAGTGAAGTATTTAAACAGAACTACCGTATACTGTACAGACTATATGGAATTAACCCTACAGTTCGTATATAGGATAACAGCCTATATGATAATAGAGTGCGATTTAAACGCTTACATCCCTTGACATGTAAAAGCTATCTCGGTTTTATTTAGGGATAAGTTAACAGAGGAAGAGGTGGAATGGACATACTACAATAATAAAAGAAGAAAAAAGGGTCCATAGTAACGCCTCTCTCTTAACCTTTTCTTTTAACGCTTTATACAACTTTTCGCTCATTATAACCGCTGTACGTCTTCCGTTTATCTATAAAAGCGCTTAATAACGATTTTTAAAGTGTTGTTAAAGGCTGTAAAAAAAATTTCAAGTAGAAAACGATTATTTCATTGGTACCTCAATTTACATTTTTTTTTACAACTTACAAATCGAGGGGAGAACCTTTATGAAATTCAAAACGCTTCTTCACCTTTGTTATTACCTATATATTGCTCGTCAACCATTCAGAATAGTTAAAATATAGTTGGAAGAATAGGGGTAATTTATTCCAAAAAATTTAATACTTTATCCTTTCGTTCCTTTCATCCCCCCTCCTCCCTCTGTCACATCTTCGAAACTATCACCACCGCTTCCACAAATTCAGTATATAGCGGAAATGCTGGAACATTTCGGTAAATAGTCTAGTTATATAATAAGGAGGAAGTAATCTAAAAGATTATACTGAAGAAGAGTTTGACCTTTAAGCTTAATGGCTCTACGGTGGGTTTTTTTTCCTCCTAGGCCTAAAGTTCTTTCCTAAGCAGTTAAATATCTTATAAATACAATTTTGCTTTATTTAAATTAGTTTTTCTTTTAATTTTTTGCCTGTAAAAATAAAAGAAAAGCATGAAAAGAAATGAGAACATTTTCTGAGTATTCCAATGGTACTATACAAAATTTCTATTAACAATTCCATGAATAAACAAAAAATTTGTAAAAGAAGAAGTAAAAAAAGAGAAAAAACAAACAAACAAATAAACAATTATCTTTTTGACATTTTAAAAAAGTGTCTATATAGATTAAGAGAGCTCTATTCAAACAGTAGAGTCTCTGAATGACTCTCTAAAACTACAGTCCATTACGTAACTACCAGAAGTAGTTGTTGAGCCATCGTCAGAATCGAAAGATCTCCTGATTTTAGCTGTTGCTGTCGAAAGGAATCTATCTTTTGTTAAATCGTTGAACGTTCGGCCCTTGGTGGGAGGTCGATCTGTGCATGGGGTTGAGTGAATGAATGAAAAATTATATAATAACCGGCGCATTTCTGTTGGGCATCAAACTCAACACAGGGGGCGCCGTTATGAATCAAATATTTCTCTATTCTATTCAATAATAAAAAATTATATGCAAATAACAAGGGAGAGATATAAAAGCACAGCAAATTATCGCTAAACAATGTATAAAAAAAATGAAAGGGAGGGGGTGGAGAATGAAGGTTGAAGGGGTGGAAGTTCTTTTATATAAATGTATATCTATGTAAAAAGGGAACTAAATACAGTTTATTCTTTATTTGTTAAAATTCGTTTGCTCAGCTGTTTTACTTTATCGCCTTTTTCGTTAGTAATAATCAGTATTCATTAAGAGTAATTAAACGATCAATGTTTTAACACGTGCTCACAATCTGTAACAGACCTATACCTTATTCGTCTTATTAATTCTAATTGGATAAGGTATATCTTTCTCCGTAGAAGAGAGAACCTTTCAAGAAGAAAAAGGTAAAAAAAAATAAACGACGGAAAGTCAACCGGAGAGTATGCGTGGCTAGAGAAAAAGAATATCGAAAGAATAAGACGATGATGACGAAGAGAAAAATCTGTGCGTGCTTAGAAATAAATTTCTTTTTCTATACCTTGTTAAGGATGTAAAAAGTTCGCATTTTAAAGTCATTTACCTATGCTTATTATTTCTCTTAAACCTGTCCTCTTGTTATACCTGAACTTCCTTTCTACTACTGTTATAAAGATCTTTATCTTATTGTTAAACGAAATGAATTGTTGGAATTCTAATTTCAAAACCTAATGATCAACATTTTTCATTACCCATAAAAAAGTCTTTAATAGCTAGTTAATCGATATTTTAAGCATTCGGTAACTTTTTTGTAAAAAGAGAGAATATATCCTCCCATCGTCGCCTATCCTTTAGAGAATTCTAATGTTATCATTTTCTCAAAGAGTAATATAAGTTTTTAATTGCAGGTTGATTTTTATGTCCCCACACCTTTTGAATATTTTATGAACAATACCTAAAAGTCAATTTACTTTTAGTAGAGAGGCCTATTGATTAAAGAGAAGATTGGGAAAGGGAATTAAAAGAGAACGAGAGAGAGAGAGAAGGAGAAATTAAAAGAGAAAAAAGGACTTAAATCATGCTGTGAAGAACTTTCGAAAAATAGAAAAAAAGTAACTTTGAACGTTTTTGACCTGAGGCAAGACAAAGGTTACAGTAGGTATGCGAAGTATATATACATACATATATATATATATAGATATAGATATATACTGTATATATATAGATATATATACTTTGTACCAATATACTGTATATAGAAAAGTATATCGAAAGGCATGCATGTGCTTTTTGGTACCTATTAGTGCTACATAGTATATAATATGTTTACAAGAAATGCTTACCGTTATCACCGTGTTCACTAGACCCTTTTCCGCTATCGCTATTTGATAACGATTCACAATCCCTTTCACTCCTTAACAATTCCATTAATCGTTTTACTTCGGAATCCGCTTGAGGTCTAATAGGCCTAGGAGGATTATGATCGGCTACCTGAAGAATAATAAAAAGAGGGGTGGTTAAAATGGGAGGAGAACAGTATAAAAAAAGATTGGCAGTCTCTACCAAATTTAAACTTAAACTGTTTACGTTACATCATAATTAGCCCCGTTTTACACCTGCGTTTTTTTTCTAAGCCTATTATTTTTCATTTGAAGTGAAAGAAAACGCATGTTAGACATGTTGAGGTTTTCACCTCACTTCCATTGTGAACAGTAGTATACATATCCCTTCAGGCTCCCTATTTCTCTTCTTTGTATACGAAGGAAGTTGTAATTTAAAGGTTGGCAGACGCGGGGGGAAATTTACTATAAACAATTACAACGATCGCGGTTAAGTTTGCACGCCCCCTATTTTTATAATTCCTGTTATAGAATCTCCTAGAATGAAACGTCCCGCATACTTATAAAAGTAGAGCAGCGCGTGACCGCTAAGCCCATTTGTTAAAGGATTTCCACTAGATTGCTGGACGTTATTTTGTGCCTTAATGAAAAATTGAGCGTCACTCAACGCCATTGCTAGTTTACTATTATATGCTAAACAATGTCTAATTACTATATGAACGCGTCACCGTAATGTTTTACGTAATCAATTACGTATCATCAATCTTATTTAATCATATAATTTAAATATTGCAGTCATCTTCTTTTTTAGGAGAGAGAGAGAGAGAGAGAGAGAGAGAGAGGAAAACCCTCAGATTTCAAAGACTAATTTCCGGTGGAGTTGTTAATAAATAAAACGACAAAAACGAACATTTAATAATAAAAGAAGGGACACGCGAAAAAAGCTCCTTTTTACCCAGGCACGCACAATTCATACCTACATTTATTAATGTATAAAAAAAGTAGAAAAAACCTCCCTGATAACCTTTTCTTTTTTTTCACCCTTTTTATCCCTCTATCTTCTTCTTCATGTATGCGTGTTATGAACATTTATATAATACCAAGTGTTTCAAGAGGAACAAAAATGATTTTTGGACCTTCCGTGTACTTTTTGTTTGTTTGGAGAAATCACGCAAACCTATGTCCTTTGTATCGTGGGAAAATACAACTTTGACAAACTTTTCTCATAAAGTAACGCCCTCTAGATATTAAGTTTTTATTTCATCTTCTTTCTATTTTGCATTCTTGTTCTTTCCTTTACGTTTTTTGTACTCTAGATTGCTTTTATTCTCTTTACAGTAGTAAACAAGTTTTCTTCTTTTTATCTTCCTCTGTTTATTATTTTATGCAGTTTTTAAAGTAAAATCTTCTTTAAAAGGATCTTTTGCGAATATTACAATTTTTAAAAAGCCAACAATCAAAGTAGTCGTTAAAATCTCCAACAAACTCATATAGCGTAGAGCCATTAACGCATATTTATTATTAAATGATCTATTATTCGATAGTATTAACACGGCTGTGATAGAATGCGACTCGAAATATACTACTCCTTCTGCCTTTAAAAGACAAGGAATAGCAAAAAGTAAGAAAACAGATACTGCTCAATCTAACATTCTTTGCGACTTCCTTTTTGTTGATCAGTCTCTTTGTTTCCGGAACGGTCATTGAGTACTTTTCATACAAGAAATTGGGAGAGGGCAACAAGGGGAGGGGGGAGGAAATCTCGTTAAATTGAACGACTTAATCGAACGCGTAAATCTTGAAGTAAATTTCCGAAATGGACGACGTCAAGCTGAGAAAATTGAGGTCAACCTCAGAGCTCATTCAACCTGTACAATCGAATTGCTATCGGTCCGAATTATTCTTTCAGACACCTTGAGAAAAATGTCCGTATAGAACTCGAATATAATTGACATTCGGACGCGCCTACACCGGTCTTAATGGTACAGAGGTTAAACAGAGGATTATTTTTTCCTTAAACTTAAAACTGTGCAATAGAGAAGAAATAGCTACAAAGAGAGAGAGAGAGAGAGAGAGAAAGAAAAATCTATAGAAAAAGGTAATAGAGAGATTGAGATAGGAGTTCAAAAAAGAGAGGGAAAGACTAGGAGGTAGTAAAAAAAAAAGAAAGTTGAATAAAGTAAAGAAAGGGAAAAGATTTTTCGGAAATTTTAATGACCCTTCCTTGCTTTTCTTTTCCCCTTAACACACCCTCTTCATTCTTTATTTCATTCTTTCTTTTCATCGTTTAGACGTACAGCACGCGATACAGAAGTAATCAACATCAACACATAACAAAAAGTCTTTCAAATTATTATGCAAATAAGACATTCTAACTAAAAAATTATGCACCTGCGATCGATTTATGATAATTTCGGAATCGACATAAAAATAGACTTTACATCTTTTATTTCCATTCTTATCCAGTTTAAAAAGGATATTATTATATAAGAGAAAAGGTGTGAAAGGAGAACCTATAAAAAACTAGGCGTCACCCGCCTACTCTTTTCCCATCTCCTACTTCTCGATATAATATTGTATAATCGACTAATTTCCAGTAGATAATCTTACAAAATATCCCATTATTTAATCTGTTAACAGGTGATCGAAATTGGAACGTTTTTCTTTCTTTTTTTATTATTATTAAAGCATCATTTACTGACGTGTCACGCAAATTCCGATTTTTTTTTATAGTTTTTTTTTCTTTTGACAATCAATAAAAAGATATTGGAATATTGTTTAATCATTTCCCATCTCATATATACAGGATGTATTGTACTAAGAGGAGTAAATTGAAAGAATTTTCTCATATTCACACTTTTTTGTGGCTCTTTTTCTCTCTCTCTCTCTCTTTTTTTTTAGTTTCCTTTTACCCTCTCTTTTTTCTCTCTCCCCCCTCTCTCTCTCTTTCTCTACCTCTCTCTACCACCAACCGTTCTTTTTCTCTCTTTTCTTTTATTGAGAAATAGTATCATAAATACTAAGGCCTAAATTTGGACATTAACTAGGTTCCTTCGGCTTGGATGAAGAATAGAAATTTGCGGCGAGACATTTTGTTAGTAAGCGAGAAGGTATATAAAGTGGAGAACTAAATGTAGTGGGTGAGACAAGTCCAGTCCAATAAGAGAAAAGGGCTGCTGTGCCCAAATTAAGTTAATTTGCCAAAAGCATAGAGAAAAAACCAGTTGCTTCGCGGGTGACTGTGACGTAAGCGTTAATGTGACGTCATAAATGGAAGGCGACGTCTCTATGGACTCTCCTGACGTAACGAACACTTAGCAGTGTTAAAGGTTTCCTTTTGCAGCGCCTTTGCAGTTGTACATATTTCTTTTTTTTTTCTAGTACTACAAGAAGCTATAAAAATAAAATAGCAAAAGGCGGCTAGTTCAAAGGGTAAAGTATGACACAAAAGCTCTTTTTTGAACCAAACATATAAACACGTATTTAAGAAATGTTCAAACATTTTATCCTGGTATTTTTTTACTTATACATATATAAAGAGCTGATTAGGTAATACATTCCGGTATTATAATCTAAATGTATGCATACAATTTATGCTATATACTGTATTTATATATATATATATATATATATATATAAATCTAAATGGTTTAAAAACCGGAAATAGTATCACCTCATACTCATATAGTTCAATCTTTAAAGTGTGTTATTTAAACAATTTTTTATAACGGTTATTTTCCCATAACGCAAAGAGCGTTCATTTTTGCTATTCATCTCTCTTCTCTCTTTTTTTTAATATCAATTTTTAAACGACATTTCGTTTTGTCTCGGTTAACAGCTGTGTTATTTAGCTTTGTTAATTAAATACGGTCCATTAATTAAACGAGAAAGTCACTAATTATAGTGTATTGGTATCGAAATATATTAAAGGATAATTTAATTATTTAATTAGTTGTATTTTACGTAGTTAATTACTTTATTTAGCTCTCCTTTCTGTTGTTGAAAGTAGGTGGTAGGGAAAATTTTTTAATAATTAGGCCTAATGCTCTGAATGGATGCCCACATTCTTAAATGTTATACGTGATAATTATCGACTATCGTTGATTACTCAAATATAATAGATTGGGAAATCATTGTAATGATTTAAGCGTATAAAGCGGAAATTTTAGAGGATCACGGCTACTTCGTTGGCAAGAAAATAGAAGATAATCGGAGACGATAGTTCGGAGAGAGGAATGCTAAACTCATTTGATACGATATATATTGGGCTTTTACTCTTGGGTCCTAACCCTCCCCCCTTACTCCTGCCCTGAAAAAAGAAAATAAGGGTTGTTTACGATTGACCCCCTCCCGGGCTACTCTTCGTCCCTTACACTACTAGACGATTTTTCATCTCGCTGCACGATCCCGGTGCCTGACATTCTCACCAACATGATTCAATTAAGGCGTCACGTGGCGTCCTTTGTGCAAACAAATGACGGAAAATGTCGTCCGAACGACTACTCTGACCTAATTTTCTAGACGCCAAAATTAGCAGCGTTTTGGGATTAGCGAAGAGAATAGAGAATGAAACAGAGCGAGGGTACAGTAACTGAGGTGGGGGTAAAAATTGTTCCCTTTCATAATCTAATACTCCTCCTTTTCCACATGTCGGTTTTAACCCCATTTCCGACCCCTAATAACCCGTTTTATAATCGCCGCAGATGCTAAATTTCCGCGTATTTAAATCAGCCAAAACCAATTCGATCGGACGCATTTTCAAATGGGATAAATGTCGGCGCTAAATCGGCCGTAAAAAAAAGATCGCATTGAAATCACCTACTACTTTTATAAGGGGCCTTGAGAATGCATCCGATCTAAAGAGAACCTGCGTACTATTACTCTTTTCTTCTTTCTCCACCTTTCCAATTTTTTTACTCCTTTAACAGTTTCCTTTTATGAAATCCTTTCAACATAGCCTCCCTTTTTGCCCTCCCAAACCCAATCTTGTTTTCCTCGTTTTTTCTTTCTCTATTTCTTTCTCTTCTTCCCTTTTTTTTAATGAAGTTGGGAATGTTTATCGAATTCTTGCCGCCCTTTCGTTCTATTTACAAGGCAGCCCTATTTGCCTAGTATTACGTTCTTGTAACTTAAACTTTGAACGGTGTTCTTTGTCCAACTAATTGTTCGTTTTTTTTTCTTTTATTTCCCTTTATTTATGTTATTTTATAATCGTTTGATTTTATAGTCTGCGTAAGAGATGGATATTTTCTAATTAAGAAGGCGGGGTAATTAACGTTCTATTCTTATTGTTACTAAAAGGTAGAGTACTTTTTTGATGGTAAAGATAATTAACTTTATCTAATTTCTGATAAGCAGATGAAAGGAAACCGATCGGATCAGCAAAGAATTTTAGAAATACGTAAAAGAAACGTAAAAATGTTTTACACTAAATTCCTAACTCGGGCACGTTTCTCTTCCTCTCTCATATATACAGTTTATATATTTCTTTTTCTCTCTTTGTTCATTCATCTTTTTCCCCTGGCATTCTCTTCTCTGCTTCTGTTAGGAACTATTTTCATTCTCTCTTCCCTTTAATTGCAACTTAATTGAGGAAACCTTATTGAAATCTCTTTGCCGTGAATAATTCACTAATGTAACTTTTGGACAACATATTTTAACAAGCCTTTGATCTTTTAAATATTTCTCCTAGTTACAACACATGTTAAACATGCTTAAATAAATATTACTATGGTTAATCTTCTTTTTACACCTTTCTTTTTTTTATTCTCTTTTTCACTCTTTTCCTTCTTTTAATAGTACTATACACACTTTAAAGATCCTTTTAAGCTATTTAAATAAATACAAACTATTGCGCAATAGTTTATTGACTAGGTCAATAAAATTTAATCATAAGCTGTTTAAAAATATATATGTTCTGGGAAAAATTAGTGTTTTATGAGAAATAAGTATTCCCAAAAAAATGTTAATTATTAAGTGACTAGTGGACGATTTCCCTTGTTCACTAGCTGCTCTTTCAAAGGTCCCCTTTATATCCCCTTTATATCGACGCCTTTGTTTCATTAGAGGGTTTTTGTACCAGAATTGTGGGTAAATTTGAATTATTTACAATACTAAACTATATATTTGCCTTCGATTTACGCGTCTCATGTTACGTCATACGAAACAACATCGTTCCACTCGATTCGATTACGTTACATCACCGCCAAACACGGCGAAAGTTGAAACGCAGGTGCTTTAATGAGGGAACCGCCTATTGCGTAATTCCGTCAAGTTTGCGTTTTCTTTCATGCATGAATGAAGACTGCCTTATAGCCTAAGGGAAGACTGCTAAGTTTGTTCCCATTTACAAATTATACAGTACAGGAACGTGATTAAGTACAGCAACTCGGCATTTTTTTTTTGTTATTTACTTGAAATAGACGAGACTATTTTTAATGACTATTGTCTTTTCCGTAATCGTATAATAAAAATTAATAATGCAACATAGGTTTAAATTGAAAAATAGAGGAAATTTCACTTACTTGATAAAAAGAAGAAAGAGGCCGAAATTGAGTATCAGCTTTTATCTTTCCATCTTCAACTCTGGCGTGAATTTCCACTTTCTCCAGTTCGAGGACGTTTTCCTTCCGATCTTTAGCAGCTTGTTCTTCTAAGAGTCGTTGTCTCCTTCTTACTAGAAAGATGGCGAACAAAAGAACCACTACAATGAGTAATGTTACGGAGGAGAGGGCAACTACTATCATGAGATTGAAAGAAGGGTCACCGCCAGCAGAACTTCCGTCGCCAATCGATCGTAAAACGATAATTGTAAGGTTGGATGTAGCAAATTTTCGTTCCGAGCCGGAATCGGTTACTCTAACTTTAAGAAGGTACTTCAACTGCCTAATTCCTCTTAAGTCATCGTTGACAGCTATAGTACCAGTTGTTCCATGAACGTAAAACATATCGTCCTCATTTCCGGCTATAATTTCATATACTAATGCCCCATTCACTCCAATATCGCTATCCCTTGCCAATATTCTGCCAAATATTCGATCTTTCCCTAAATTCGATTTAACAGTAATAGTGCTGTTTGAGGGATTTGGAAAGTCAATTATGGGCTTGTGATCATTAATATCCTCTATACTAATGCTAACTAAAGCAGTAGAAGTAGAAGAAGGATCTTTTACGCCAGTGGCCTTAACCTTGAATTCGTAAAGGTCTTGAATTTCTCTATCAAACGTTCTCTTTGTATAAATTCTGCCAACTTCATCGATTGTAAATAGGTCTGTTGATCCGAGGAGTTCGTACGTATGGCGCCTAAACTCTTCTCTTTGATCTCTATCAACTGCTAGAACCTTGCCAACATACTCAGTGGGGGACGATTCTTCCAATACATGCATCTCAAAGACATCTTTGACAAACACCGGTCTTTCATCATTCAAGTCCGTTATCTGTATAGAAACCGGAACTTGAGAAGCCATTGGAATAGAACCGTGATCCCTTGCTTCAATTTTAAACTCAAGAGTTTGAATTTGTTCGAAATCCAATGAGCTTTTAAGAAAGAGTTGTCCAGTAGTTGAATGCACATAAACTAGATCTGTTCCGGATACTGAATAAGAGATAATTGCATTGGAACCTTCATCGGCATCTGTAGCGAATACAGAATACAAGCCAAGAGGATTCGGATCATTCTCTTTTATAGTAAATTCGTAGAAAGTCTGATTAAATTTTGGTGCGTGATCGTTGAAATCGAGTACTTTAACTATAGTAATTAAAGATTCGGGTAAATTCTCTGAATCGAAACATGTTAGATTAATCGGAAATTCCGATTTTTCTTCTCTATCAAAGACTTTAGCAGAAAGTAGACGATAGTAGCCGGATATGCTATATGGTACAAGGTGGAAGTTGATTGTATCATTTATGAGGCAATTAAAACTTCCATCGTTTATATCCTTATCGTGAACATAGATTTCTCCCGCTTCTGTATCTTCATCTTGTTCCTCAACGATTCTGAATTCTTTTATGACAGAGATTTTATGTTTATTATCATTGACGTTTAATATTTTAACGTTGACAAGAGCCTGACTCTTGAGTGAATCAGCTCCATTATCCTGGGCGGTAACCATTATCCTGTAGTTCCTCTTACTCTCATCGTAATCCAACAGACTTGTAAGGATTAGTTCTCCTGTCTTATTATTAATTCGAAACGTTTCATCAACTTCTTCGTCAGATTGCGAAAGATCTATGGAGTAACTGACTATTGCATTTTTCCCCTCGTCTTTGTCGGTAGCTTTAATGAGCTGTATTACGCTACCGGGTACTTCATCCTCGTAGACGCTCACCTCGTAAGTTTCCTTCTCAAATTTCGGGGCGTTGTCGTTGTAATCCGTTACTAATACCCTGATTAAAAGAGTTCCAGTTAGGGACGGTGTGCCCTTATCGATAGCCTTAACAACAATATGATGGATTGCCTCTCTTTCCCTATCCAATTTAGATAAGAGTTGTAATTTTCCATTTACCAATTCGAATTTATCAGAACCGCTAAGGGTATAATAATCAATACCGTTTTCGGGGCTATCCTTATCAACTGCATAATAGGGTAAGTTTAACGCTTCAGAGACTGGTTGTCCTTCTGATATGCTAAGGTCATAATTTTCAGATCGAAAGCCGTTAAATTTTGGAATATTATCGTTTTCGTCCAAAATTTGTATCCGTATCGAAGCGATATCAGCTGTTTTACCATCGCTGCCCTTTAAATCAAACTTCAGATAACAAAACTCTTGATTTACGCAGTCCTCTATTGATTCTCTATCTATATCACTGGACCATAACTCTCGACCTTTGACCTCAAACATATTTTTATATCTTGCCCCATCCTTACTATTTAGAATGGAAAATTTTACACTTTTTAATTCATCTTCTGAAAATCTTCTAAAAGGTTCAATCAGTTCATTTAAATTCACTAGTTTAATTGGTTGGCTATTTTCTGGAATTGTATATAGTTTTTCTAACGCCGAAACGCCGGAAATATAGATGAGAAGAATGATTTGGAACATGCAGGTTTCTTGATTTCTTCCTCCTTCTTTCTTTTCAAGTTTTTTTCCACTCGTTAGCTTGTCACGTAATCTGAAAAGATGAAAAGGAAACTGTACTCGATTTAATGGAGAGGAGAAGAGAACTTGACTCAGCATTCTATCAACATATATTTATAGAATTATTTTTAATGATATATATATATCCTTGGTAAAATTAGTATAATAAATATACATAAGCCTATTTTTATATATATATACCTTTAATAGAGTAAGAAAACGGACGGGAGGGGTGTTAAAAATTCCTTTCGAAAAGATAATTTACGCCCCGCTGATTAAATTGTTAATAGTCGACGCTTCCTAGCCCGATCACGTAATAATCAGCAACTTTAAAATAACCCTAGAGCGTTTACTGTTGGTTATTATAGTTAATTAATAGCGACGATTATCTACCTATACAAAAAAAGAAAATAATAAACGCATATATAAACAGAGCTTTTTCTTTTCTTTATTACTCTATTTACATTCTATCCTGTTAAACAAGGTTATTGGAGAAGAAGAAAAAAGGGACAGTTAAATAAACTATTGAATAAGACAAGTGTTTATTCCCCCCACCTTAGCTTATTTAGGAAAGGGAGAGAGAGAGAGAGCAAGGGAAAGAGACATCACGAAGAGTGATTCTAAAGTCATAAATGGCTAAAGAGTACCAGGAAAACGGAATAAACAACTTGCTTCCCCATACTCGCCTTTTTCCTATATCAAATAGAGATCAAGACTCATAAGACTATTATAAATATACAGAGTAGGGAAAAGATCGAGAGTTGTATGATATATCTGCAAAATAGTGTAAATATATCGTTTTTCAATAAAAATTGAACATAAAACTCCCTTGCTTAACTTCCCTTATCCTTAAAGAAGAAAGAATTGGCTAATGTGCCTTTAAAGATTAGTTTATCCATTACTTAGCGTCGAATGAAAACAGAGATAGACATTGGAATATTTTTTTAAATTCCTTCTCACTTTAAATTCAAAATGCCAGACTATAACTATCTTTACTTCTATCTTTCACTCTTTCTTTGGATTCCTTCTTTCTTTCTTTGACTATATTCTAATTAGATGATAAGGTAAAAGGTGTTTTCAAAGAGAACTTTTTAAAATCGAGTATTCTTGACTTCCTTTTATGAATTTGGATGGTACTTTGTATATGGCGTGCAACAAGCTTTTTAAACTCTATTCTTCTCTTTATTTAAATTTTTCCACATGTTGAATTTCCTATGTTCGCCGTCTAATTATAGGATATACATAGCTAAAATGTTATAGAAACCCATAAACTTAGGTTTAAACCGAGGTTTTATTGAGATCAAAGCGGTATATTATTTAAACGTATAGAAACTTTCCACGAGTAGGTCTACATAAGAGGGTATATCCTTTATTCCTTTCCCTCAAAAATTTATTAATATTTCTTCAATAAGTCTTCACTTTTAGAATGAGCGATAGGGATAAGAAGAAAAGATCTTTCTACTCTTTTTCCTAGGCCTTAATTGAAAACCCGTTGAAATTTTAAAAATATGTTTACCATTAAAGAGATGTTAGTAATTTATAGCTCTCTGCCTGGATTAGTATGTTTATTCCTGTTTTCGTTTGTACTAAGTTGATATACAGTATATATACTGATAATGTAAAATTTATAAAGAAGACAATGAAGAAGAAGAAGAAGAAGGGGAAAGGTGAAAAAGTTTCAAAAAAGATAGAATAAAAACATTTCTTAAGTAAACAAACAAACGAAAAAGTTTTCTTACTGGGAAAAGAAGGAGGGAAAAGATAAAAGAAAACTATTAAATTGACTTTATTTTCCTATTAAACCTTACTATTTTTACAAGTTACATAGATTTCTAACAACTATTAAAATGATTATTTACCTCGACAGGAAATTACTTCCGAAAGATCAATAAACCATAAATAAATATAACAAAAATCCGTAAACAATTTATAAACAAGTTCTCTTCCAGACAGTCAGAACACTATATGAGAGTCTAGTGGTTTTAGGGCTCCTCCTACCGGTCACGTGATGCCCCGTCCGATCGCCAATTGGATGTTTTTGAAAAGACAGACGGGTCCAGGCGGCAAGTATCAAAGAATAATTTTTATAGCACGCGAAGAGCAATATTTCAGGTTGTTGTATGCATTTGTTTTAAGGCGTTAGTTTTGCAGTTCTATTCGTCGATATCATATAGGCTTAATTCATTAGCGAGAGAAAAAGGGGTGAGAGTTTAAGCGGGGTAGAAAAACTGCGTGCGGTAAAAATAATTAACGGTTGTCCGAACTTCGGGGAGTCGATCTTTTGTCCATAACAACGAACTGACGGGGATTTCTTCTTTCAGATTTCTTTCTCTTTCTCATCACGTGATCTGTTTGCTTTGTGACGCCACCAAGGTGTTTAAATATATCTTCTTTCCCACGAAGGAGGGTAAAAAAAATAAGTTTTGTTGAAAGGTACACCATCTCTTAACTGGTGTTTTTTTTAAATATAAGGTCCCCTCGTTTTAAGGTAAAGAGTTAACTGAAACGGAAAACTTGAATAAGATACGTCCATACACTTGGTTATTTACTTAAATAGTACTTTATGGAAATAGTCTAGGGGTTAAACTAAGCCTACGTAAAATCTATTCGGCTAGAGGTTTCAACTTTCGCGTCTAATATTTAAAATATATATAAAAACTACTAGCAAAAGACTACAAGGCTACATAAAGTTTCTCGAATTTCTACAACACCTGTTTTATATTAAAATTACCCCTTTTTAATATATTCATATACGTCTAATTTTACAAAATATATGTATATTATATTCATCTAATTTGCATATATATCATATATATTTTTATATGTATTTAGCTAAAGTGCTAACACTTTTTAGCAGCTATATTCCACCATTTAAACTCTAATTTATAAACAATTTAAATCTTCAAAAGAAAAGGGAAAAAACTTTGTCTATACGAAACGTTTGGTTTGAATATAATAACTTTTTTTTCACTATCTGTAAATGATTTATTTCTTGACCTGTAAACTTCACTTTGCAAACAAATAACTTTTACAGAGTGAACTTTTATAAATATTCATTGAAACGATCATTAATTATTGGTTTAGTCTTTTTGTTCCATTTGAAGGAGAAAGAGGGAGGAGAATGTGGGTGTGGATTAATGATAATTGGGAAGGGAAGCGAGAGAAGAAAGGAAAAAGAATGAATGAAAGAAAAAAATTGGAGGAGGGAGAGGACCAGTAAAGAAGGAAGCATCTTGGGGCGATGCGTGATGCATTTTTACTAGAAAGCTTTTTGTTTCCCTATTCAATTGAAAGGTGAAAGTTTCCATTCAAGCAAGTCCAGACTCTACACGGAATAGGATTTGTCCAATTGAGTTAAAAGTAGTGTAGAAAAATGGACGATTTGAGACGAATGTAAATATTGTTGTAGTCGATCGTGACCTCGTAAAAAGACACTTTTCTAGAACAAGCAAGGCAGATGGCTATGAATAAATAATTGGAGAGAGAAGTAAAAATCTTAAACCGGAAGTTGGTAAAAATGCTACGTGACGATTCATTGATTGTCTTATTATTCATGTGATTTTGAACGTCGATCCTTATCTTAATCTTTCTAATTTAGCCATCGGCATCGTTTTATTTCAATTGTCCGTTAAACAAGAAATTAAGGGCGGGAAAACTTTTTTTTTTTAATTGGATTAATTAACTATTTCGTCCAATTGTCTGGAGATTGCTAAATCGATCTGTCGCCTAAAGCCTTGAAATGAATAAGGAACAAAGATGACAAAAGACGTTCATTCAAAACGTTGTTTTGTTATTTCAGATTTGAGGTAAGATAGGTAAGTTTCCACAGAAATTTTGAATAGAAAGTATTATTTTTTTAATGCTAATTAGTTTACTCAATATATATGTTTGCTCGACAAAACAGCGTACGCGATAAATTGGTCAAGGGTCACACTCATCTCACATCTTGTCTAAACTCTAATATGACCCTATTTATAACAGATTAATTTGTTTTATTCATATATTGAAAGGGAAATGTGATCCTTCACTGTATACTTACGAATCAGTTCATAATACTTTAGGATTAATACATTTATAGTTCAAATAGACAGTACTTAATAACTAATGATTTTTCTCTTTCTCGCTTAAACGATGTTCATTTTCAGGTTCGTGACGTTATTGAATAGGGAGTTACGTAATATAATACGGTCATATTCCAAACGAGTAAATATTAAGTAAGAGCGTTTAATAGTGAGAGGAGAGACAGAGAGAGAGAGAGAAAGAGAGGACGGAGATGGGGAAAGAGGAGAAAAAGTTGATATCGTTCGAGGGTTTATTAATGAAATAAAAACAGACTCATCTATAGTAATATATCTATTTGTTTATAGAGATATGGAGAGTAGCGCGTGCGTACCGACAAAAGGCGCAATGCACTTGTTTGCGCAATAAAAAAAAAAACTTGACAAGCACTTCATGAATAATAAATAGTATTTATTCAGCTTCCATTTTGCGTTTCGTCCTTGGACAATAGCGAGTAACATACACTAGAGAGGTTCTACATGAGCCGTACGGATTTTTATTTCCTTTTCTATTACAATAAAAAGAAGATGGAAGAGGAAACAAAGAGGAATAGACGGAATTGATGAGTGAGAAATTAGGGGTGGATAGGGCGGAATGGGTGGAATTGTTTAAGGGGTAGCAGGTGCAGTTTCTGGGAGAAGAAAGATTTTTTAGTCGCCAACCCAACCCACCCATCACTGAATAAATAATGAAGTCTTAACGTAATCGATTTTTTCTTGCTTAATTAATCTATTTAAACCGTTTAACGCCTTTACAATGGGGAAAAGATTGTGCCACTTTTTATCTGATTTTTGCTTTAAATTATTGATTAAATCTATACCTTTTTCTTCTCGACCCTCTTCATTTCTTTATCATTTCTAATCAAATTATAAAATTTCTTTATTTATTTATTTGATTTATTAAACAATTATATTGATAATTATTTATTGGATTTCACGAAAAGTATGTTAAAGAAGGCAAATAGGCTTATTAAATCATTAAAATTACGTAACTATTTTATTTATATGGTTGGGAAAAAAAAGAAAGAAATGAGAGAATTCTCTATCTCTAATGAATTCTAATAGAAACTTGGAAAGTAATTGATACTATTTGATAACCTTTTCACTTTATCTTCAATGATTATAGAATGATAAATCATAGAATATTATATCATAATAATTCCATTTTATTCTCTTATTCCACCTTTCTCTCTCTCTCTCTCTCTCTCTCTCTCACTCTCTTTCGTTATTCTTTTATTTTATTTTCCCACGTAAGCCTAGTATAGGTTTTTCTTTTCTAAAGAATATATCAGAATGTCAAAATATATAAATAAGCCATTAAAAAACGACCCTGGCGGAGTTGCGGACAAGACCTACAATTAAAATAACTCATCATTTGACATCTCCTTTCATTAAACGTTTATAATTAGTGGGTAAACTGAAAAGGAATTGGGGAACGTGCCGGCGTCTGGATTCCTTTTACGCTAATGTAAACAGAACGGGAGGGTTGTGGATGGAAGGTAAAGGGAGTTATTTTCAAAGTTTGTTTTCTCTTTCGATTGTTGACCGTGACAGGATGACTTAAAGGGTCGTTTGAACATTGATTGATGTAGGGTTTATGTAGGATTAAAGGGTCTATACAAGTAGAAAAAAATAAAAAGTAGAGTACGCTTTAGACCCTTTTTTTTCCGGTCTATATTAAACTTATTACCTTTTCAATAAAATTTCCCATAAAAAATGGAATGATTATACACATACTATTCAGTCTTTTGTTTAGTAAGTGTATAGAACACTTTTGCAGTACACAATATGGTGACAATATTTGCATTTACTAAAAAATATTTCACATTTATTCTATGTATATATACATTACATTATTATGCAGTTATAAGAAGGAATTGACCTTTATAACCTCTCCTCTTTCTTACTTCTAAGCCCCGCACACAATAGCTATTTTATAGAATAGACGCTATTCTTATCGACGCTATAAACTATACTTATTCTTGCGAATTTCCGGTTTCAAAAGTACGCTTATGAATAAGAAATTATATATATTTAGCACTGAGGCGTCTATTTTAGAAAGGGTATTAACTCGACTATTTTGATGTGTAAATTAAATGTATAACCCTTTTTATTGTTTAATGATCATAAATTTTAGGGCAGACTGTAATCTCAATGCCAAGGACGTTGACACTTCCTCTTCGTTAATAAATTAAGAGAAACGTCATTCTGGACGCCCTCCGGATTTAAGGGAAGAGGCTATAAATTTTAGCACCAACACCTTTCCACAGATTACATAACTTCATTAAGCTGTCAGTTGGCGTAACCAGGGCATGTGTATCATGTCAAAGCGTACTGTCTTCGTTGAAGATATCTCTTCAAGTGACGTGTTTAGTTTTTTTACAGTTTATTGCGCAATAAAAATAAATATAAAAATAAATAAAACTGGTAAAATACGACTTATTATTCAAAATTGGAAAAACGTTTTCAGGCATATATCGCTCCAAGGAATTTCCAATAGGAATGGAGAGATCAGGGTCAAGAAAGGCCACGTGCAACGGTTGGAGTGTTTCCCAAATACGTTACAGATTTTCAGAAAGTCAGAGTTCATCGTATTCGTCTAGTAATTGTTAATATATGTATATATATATATAGACTTTTGATTTAATGACGAGTTTTTCAAACGCCATCTAACGATCGATATCTACTTGGGTAAAGGAAAGAAGTCTAATTGTTAGATGGCGCTGAGAAATTGATTGTATCTATTGTGATAGCTTAGTGATCGGAAGTCTAGCATCTCTAACGAGTCTTATCGGTTACTTTAAAATAACAGTCGCTACTGGCAACGTCGCGCAAATCCAGCATAACTGTCAACAGTCCTTTAATCCCGAGACACCGAAGAACCTTTAAAAAAGAACTAAGGAAAACAGTGGGTTTCCCAAGACAAACAAAGAATAAACGACTCTACAAAGTGCCTGCTCCTTGTATATCAGTAGATGCCGATAAGATAAAAGATTATTGATAAGGTCGAAACTCATATATATTGCTGCATCAAGTGCAAAAACATCTGCTCGTAATAAGGGGCAACGATGCCCGCGGTCATTTTTTTCCAGATTTCTTCACTAAATACAACCTTTACTCAACATTATACGATTTCTATTCAATTTATTCCCCTAACGTATAGAAATGCTTTGCCATGAAAGCGTCTTATCAGTAACGCCCTAGCTACGAATGTTTATCAAGTGGTGAAATTTGAAGCTTTTCACGTGTTAGCGTAGAAAAGTCTGGAGCCGTAAAAATCGAGTAGGTTGCCGAATTCCGAGTTAAAGGTCACTACATGTTTACCGTCTTGGAAAATGTACCATTATGTATCATTTAATAACAGGAATACCAACCACATTAATATCGCATTATTCTTAATTAAACTAAGAAAAGAACATTCCATCAATTACTACCGTAGATAAAAAACACGGCTTAGCAAGGTATATTAAGACTTGAGTTTGATGGGATTTAGAGATTAAACACAGACAAACATTGTCCAAAAGAATACAAACAAGTAGTTTGTATACATTTCCAGTTTTTTTCCAGACAGAGTAAAAACAACATAAATTAACAAATTATTTAAATAAATAAAAAAGAAAAGAGATATGTGTAGTTGAAGTCTGTAAAGAATCTACGTAGAAGTTGGATAGTTTATTCCCTCTTCTTCTTCTTTTTCTTCTCTTTCGTCTTTTTTTCTTAACGTTTCAGCTATCTTTTCACACTTCAAGAAATATTCTTTAATAGTATATCATTATGGAATTATTGACCGAAAATAATATATAACCCAACAGACGTATACTTAAAAATGACATATTTGACGGTTTATAATCAAGTTGAATATGGCTTAAAAATGACATCAATAGCCTCAAAAACTGTAATAGAAGTAAGAAAAACGCCCATAAAATCGTTTGACAAATAAAATCCCGCTTATTATTATTGTTATTATCACTTCTTAAACGATTTTGACCTTTTACCTCTCTCTCTCTCTCTCTCTCTCTCTCTCTCTTTTTCTCATTCTCTTTAGAATGTTTTTAATAGATATGTATTGTTCCGTGCGAATATTTGTCCTTTTTTACGTGTATCCTATTAAGTGAATATCGTTCTTTCTTAATATTTTGCATATTGAATACCTTGCTTTTTTTACTCTAAAAATAATATAGGCGTTGTTAATACGTTCAACAAACATCTTTTTATAGAATTATGAAATATTATATGATAAATAAATATTGTAATCAATTACGATGTAGAAGCAAACTGAAAAACAACTGTGTAAGCCTATATCAATAGAAATAATTGATGCTTTATAGAGAGAAAGAGGAGAAATGCTAAAGAATTACACCTGTCTTAGAAATAGTATTTCCGTCTTGTAATTAACATACGAAATTGCTTACCTTTTACCTTTGGCTGTTTAAGAAAAGGAGGAGTAAAATACTGCTAATTAATCGCTAATTATTACAAAATATGCATGAAATTTTAACAATTTTACCTCCTTTTTTTCATTTTATTTTAATTTTCGGCTTGAATTGAATATGGATATAAAATTTTTAGGCCTAAATTGAATTGTATAAGGCTAAGTGATAAATAATTACTGATGTGAGTCGGGGCATTAGAACAATAGATAGCTATTAGGGTTTAAAAACAATGACTAAAAGGACTATTCAATAATAATTAATTAATTAATTACTTTGAATAAAAAAATTACATAAATAAGTTATATATACAGTTTACAGTAGATAGTAGTTATGTATACTATATATAAAATTTAGTCTATTTTTAGAAATGCTCTATATTACAAATATTCCAGTAATAGGAATTTTAATTTTTCCTTTTGCCTCTATTTAGTTAAATAACGCCTTAGGTAAAAGTTAAAAAAGAACCTCTCTCGTCTGAAAACACTTTTAGCGTCTGCGGCAAACATTTTTGCCCGCCACAAATTAACTTCAGGTGTCGACAGATAAGAAACGGCAAGGATTGCGCTAACTGACCATTTTATCAGCTCTCTTATCAATAGAATTATCAATCAGACCCTCTTGTATCTTTTCTCTACGACCAATGCTTATGCAAAATTGAGTAAAGGGTTAAAAAACTTTCTTCTTTTTTTCAATAGATAAACGTCTGTCTTTCCAATACGGTAATGTTTTTACCTTCTGTTTAACTGTTTAACCTGGTAAAACCAAATTTAAACTGCTAATATAATTAAGTTTTAACCAAATAAACAACAACAGTTACAATATTACAATATTGTCTATTTCTTTATTTTACTGTATATCGTACATCTATGGATAACTGTGAAAAAGTTTTCAATGCCATAAGTTATCTATATGTGTAATATAGGTGGCGCTCAGTAAAAGATAAAGAGAAATTTTATGACAGTTTACTTGTAAAAAATGGCTTTTTAAAAGGTTTGAGAAATTACTGAATGTGTTGCTAATAAATCTCTTGAGATTATCAATAAACCGTGTCAATTTTCTTAAAGTTTGTTATTTCAGACTTTTACTTGTTTGTCAAAAGTCCATCTGGAAAAGAATGGTAGTTGAAGAGAAAGAAACTACTACGTGCTCTATACAGCCTCATCGGCGCCGTTTTTCTATCTATTCTAAAATCTGTAGAACATTAAAACTCTGTTTGATTAAAAAGACAGAAGGAAGTTTTACTATCTATTCTATGTCTTGTTTGCAAGCTATTCCATAATGTTTTAAATCTATTTAGTTAAATTGTGTACAATTTATCATTTTCTCTCTCTTTTCTTTCGTTCTTTCTCGCTATTTCTTTGGTTTTGATTGATTATTGAATTGCCGTAGATTCAATAACTGAATTGATTTGTTTAACTGAACTCAATAAAAACATGCAATTATTTTTTTTCAAAAAAAAAAAACCACCAAATCTCAACTTCGCTGTTTACCTGCTAGGAAATATTTGAAATTCTTTAATTCTTACCAGGGTAGAGTAGTTATTTAGCTATGGGGATCATGTGGCTTAAAATTAGACTAATAAAACCATTATTCGGGGTTGTATATATGCCTTAACCCCGGATAATAATCCTTCATCCTTCCTCATCTTACTGAGTTAATAGTGCTCTTAATTACTAGCTTTTGGCAGATAATCGAAAGTTGTTAAGTGCCGTCATCTTGAATGCTTTTCTCCGCTGAAATTAATTTCTGTCAATATAAGAGATAATAGGAAACCTCTCTATACAATTTGGACGAGAATTATTGCTAATTATTAAAAAAGAGATGATAATAAACTTTCTACCGACAAATAGAGGGCGCAAATTTTTAATATATAGCTATGTTTGTTTATATACTAAATATAAAGTAAGACAAAATATTTAATACACCAGAAAGAAATGTATTGATACTTGTTTTTTGTTACAAATAACTTAAATAAAAAGATTAAAAAGACGTCCAGCGTCCCTTTTTTTGTTTTTATGTTCTTATAGTAAAAGTGAAAGACAAACAATTCTATGGTGCTCACAGAAAAAATATTACAAAAAGAAACAAAATAATAATAAAAAAGCATACTATTTTTTTGTATCCTTCTTTCTCATTTCATCTCTTCTTCTTATTTAACTTAATTAGTTTTTTTTATTTTAATTAAAAAATAAGAAAAGAGTAAAACTTGTATATGAAACTGCAGGTTTAAAACGATCAAGTGTTGATCATTAATTATTCTATTTTATTTATTCTTTTTCTTTTATTCTTTCTTCCTTTACCCCTCCCCCTCCCTCTCTCTCTCTTTCTCTCTCTCTCGCTCTTTCTTTCTCAAATACTCTATTTTACTCATTATCATTTTCCACCGTCTTATCTCAGATTTTCTTTTATAATTTATCAATTCATTCTTCCCTTTTTTTTTTACTTATTCATTCATTTTATCTTTCAATATAAATTTTAATACAAAATATTATCAAGTACAAAAAATATTTATATAAATAATTCTCTTTTTCTTTCTTTTTATTCCATTTTTTTTGTGCGACTTTTATGATTTTTTTTCTTTTCATTTTCTGTTTCTTTTTGTTTTTTTAAAAAGAAATAGCTATGTCGAGCATTTGAGTTTTGTTTTTCTGCAATTTATCTCTTTCCTGAACTTGATGTCTCATGTGTTTTATTTCGTTTTGCATACGTTTTAAATGGCCCACTTTTGAGACTCCTAGATCCTAAAAAAATAATGGAAAAAGAAAATAAATAATACATAAAAAGTAATATAGATGGCGTATTTTAACAATCAAAATAAATAGTTAAATTGTTAGCTCCATCTATCGGTTGATAATTGGCTAGGGTATGAAAATAAATGCTTACTTTTAGATCATATCTTTCCAAATGTACTAATTCTTTACCAGTAATCTCATGTGAAATAAATTTTTCGGCATATTCAACAAAACCGAAACTGCTTAGCCATTGAACAACTTCATCGATAGTCCAATTTTCAACATTAGACACTGAAAATAATAAAGTTAAGGCATAATGTTTCAAAATTCATTTAGAAAGTAACCTATTTACCATCTGGTGCTTTAGGTGTATCAGATTTTTCCCTCTTTCTCTGTTTAAACCAGGGGCCAAACTTGAACTTTTTCTGTTTCTTTGGATGTTCATGCTGTTTATCAGTTGGGGAATAACGAAAAAGACATTATTTATTATTATTATTAATCAGTTTAATGCGAATTTTATACGAACATCGTCTAATATATATGGATGGGGTAGGCCTCCTATTTGATGAACCCTACCCATCTCTGCATCCATCTCCTGTAAAGCTTGATGCAATTGTTGATCAGCTTGGGATGAGAGTTGCTAAAAATAGAGTATCAATCAATTAAATAGACGTTATTAATTACAAATATGGAACGTAGATTATTAGTAATATATGTAATGATTACTTACTAATTCACGGCTATTCTCGTTTAGTAATTGAACTGATTTATGGAAGAGATGGGTAACACTGCTAACAAGATCAGAAACCTGACTCCTAATTGCCGGCTGTTTGATTTAATCATGATTCGTTAAAGAAATAAATAACTCGAGTATTTTATTAATATTATAATTTAACTGAACTAATATAATAAATTAGATTATTCAGTATACAGTTATATATAAATTTATATATATATACTGTATATATGCTATATACAAATCGGAAAGAAATGCAAATGCAAAACTTAACGGGCAGATATAAAAGAAAGTATAGAAAACAATGATAATAAATGATAAAGAACAACAATTTTTAAAATAAAAATAAAGGGAAAGACGAATGGGAATAAAAAGAAAAGGTGAGTAAAATACAACAGCAAATATCGTCTATACTGTAAAGAGTAAACAGTATACTGTTTTTACTTTGTTGTTTTACACATAAGATTTACCTGAGAAGTACCGTACTGAAATTATACAAGTAAATAATGAAAATATAGAAATGGATAGAAAGAATAAGTAATTGTTTAAAAAATAATGAAGAAGAAGAAGAAGAGGAAGAAGAAGAAGAGGAAGAAGAAGAAGAAGTACAAATAAAACATTAGGTACATATAATACTAATAAAAATGATAAATAAAATAAAATCTTCATTGTTAGGCCTACCTCAATCATTTTTTCACCATTTTCACAATATAACTTCCTTAAGAAACCTTGTGTTTGAACAATCAACGGCGTTAAATCTTCCATTATAAACGTTGTAAATGACGATAACATTTTCAAACTATTGTAAAAATATTGAAATATTGAGTTATTTAGTATTTTAAACGGAATTTATACCATTCTGTAAATCTCTCAGTTACGGAAACGAAATCATTAAGAACGTATACTTCTTGATCGGTTAAGATTGAATCTGTTTGTTCGCTGGATCTTCGTTCGTTTTTCATCCAAGATCTAAGAGCTTCGGCGAATATTTTATCGTGACTTAACATTTGAGCTCTATTCTTGTGCTTAATTCTTATAAAACCAGGATTTTGAAGCCATGCTTCACCATCAACTTGAACAGGTACAGCTTCATCACCCAGTATAGTTATTTTTAAACTCCTGCATTGAGCTATTCTATGATGTTGTAGGTTAACAAATTTAGAAACGCCCAAATGAACGCTACCAAATATGGCGACAACTTCTAAAATCTTATCATCAAAAGAAGGCGGCCGGAAATTCTATGTTTATTTTTAGAAATCTTTATATAAATTAGTTTATAAATTAAATATGTGTGTTTTTAAACGTACATCGCCTTTCGTACCCCAAAAGTTGGCTCCTCCCATATAACTATAAATCAAATGTATTTGATATACTAGGCATATCAAGGTTAAAAGAAAATCTACCTTGATATATTAAGAACTACAATTCCTTGTAAACTAGGTAAAGGAATCCTTTGTCCATCACATTCTAACTGAATTCTTTGGTCCAAATTGCGATAGGTATTATGCATAATTTCCTTTCCTCCTAAGACTCCATACCACATCATATTTTTTGTTCGGCTTCTATTAAAGTATTAAAGAATAGGTATTTAATCTAAATATTAAGTTTAATATATAATCAAAATAAATAAAAACTAACAAACACCAATTAGTCAAATCTATCAAACCGAATCAACAACAACAACAAGAATATATATATATATATATATATATATATATATATACAGTATATATATAGACTATATATGTATGAATTTATATGCACACATATACAGTATATATATATATATATCTATATATATATATATACATATATAAAGCTGTAAAGGAAATATGTAAATCAAAAAGAGTACTATCAAGTAAATAATTAATTAATTAATTATTAAGAAAAGATATGATGATAGTAATAACTTGTGTACCAAAAAAAAATGAAAAACACACATATATTGGAGTAAATAAATAACGAAACTGATGAGGTAAAAATTTGAAAAGTGACGGCTTTTTGCTCATTCTCATACAGCTAAAATGTCGCTAAAAATTAAACACAACTAAAGCTGTCAGGTAGCGTTTCTTTAATAACTAATATAATGTATATAAGCTAGAATGTTGCTTTCTTTTTTCTTTGTTAATCAAGTTAGTAAGGAAAAAAATTAACTAAGCATATTTATATATATATACAGTATATACTATATATATATATATATATATATATATCTCTATAAAAATATTAATACAACAGAGTGTAGTAGGAGGAAGGAAAGCGAAGGCGTTCATTCAAAATCTTCAAATATAAACCTGCACTTTTCCGGATGCGTTTCGCGTTTGTTGTGAAAATCTAATGCGATCTTGGCGTCGATACCAATTCCGAAATAATTATTCATGACGCTTTTTTCGTTGTACAACGATCTGAACGACAAAGAAAATATCCAAATATAATAATTGCCCATTAATTACCTGCACTTTTCGGGATGTTCCTCTCTTTTAGTATGAAAATCAAGCGCGATTTTCGCGTCTATTCCTATACCAAAGTAATTATTCATAATACAACGTTCGTCCCTGGTTCATAATTTCAGTTTATCAATGTGGTAGTTATAGTGTTAAAGAAATGGTTTGTTTTTAATAGTTTTCTATTGTTATTTTAATAAAAATGATTAATTGATTTGTTTTTTGCAGAAAAACTCTCTCTGAAATATTTTTCGTAATAGTTGTTTAGTTTCGTTTTTAGGATACTTACAAGTCCACATCGTGTTCAACTCTTGACAGGAACGCACTAGTCACGACTGGTGCTATACTTTGTAGAAGAACTTTACTAACTAGCCCCTTCCCTGGAATATTTAACGACTCTGCTTGTCTTTGTGCGTAGTTTGCTATTAAATATAATAAAAGAAATTTAATATACAATATACAGTATATATACAGTATATAAACGGTAGCATATATATATTGATATTATAGTGGGTTTCCTAAGAAGTATAGTGAAAAATTAATCTATAAATTTCATTCTATTTCCTCTACCTGGGAGTATGGGGAAATTTGAATTAGTAGGCGATCCCGTTTGTTTTCTCGGATCGGCATCCGGTGGCCCAAAGGGTGGTACAAATTTCAGTGGTGAGCGAATTGGAGAAGGAGAGTGACTAGAAGCTATAAAAAGAAGACAGGCATATACATTTCGAAAAGTAATAACACTCTTAAGATCATTATCTAAAAATGATTCCATAAAACAGAAATAGGAAGACTCACTAGCGGAATGAGACGGAGATCTATAAGGGCTGCTAGTTCCCGATGACATGTAGTCACTATCTGTATATGAAGAATCAGAGTCTACACGCCATTTGCTCATCGGTACAGATAACGATTGTTTGCCTTCCGGCATGATCAATTTTTCGGGATTATTCGATTGAAAATCAATCGTAGAACGGGATGGAGAAGGTGGTAGTATTTGAAATGCAGGTGGTGACGGAGCAGAACTTCGACAAATTGGTTCATTATTTATTTCATTTTGCTCATCGACAACTGCAATATAGATATATATATATATATATACAGTATATGTATATATTAAAAGCTAATACTTCTTTTTTAATTATAGAAAAACATACATCTCAGCTAATAACTTACAAACAAAAAACATTTGTAAAACATTTGCGCAAATAGGGGAAAAGGAAGGAAGAAAGAAAGGAAAAAATTACTTTCTTTTTCCTTTCTTTCTCTCTTTTCTTATTTTATCCTAAAGATTACTATAAATATTTAATAATTAAAAAAAAAAAACATAAAGAGTGGATAAAAAGATGATGTGAAGAGATGGAAGAATAGGAAAAGAAGAAAAAATTTTGATAACAAGTGGCAAGAGTAGACTGAAGAGGGGTATAAGTGAAGGATAAGTAAAATTATAATTATATAATTTCCACTTGGGCATTTCCAGGAAATGAGAATAGACACTTTCCCTTCTAAATCTTCTCACTTTCATCTCAAACAGAATCCGTTGTTTCTATTTTTTCTTTTTTTTTTGTAAAAGAAACATACTCTAACCTTAAATAGGAGAGATGGTCTCCCATTCCCATTCTCTTACTTAAACTTTACTATCCTTCATTCTCCTTTTAACAAATTTAAATATAATATACGGTATATTAACTAATCTTTCATATATATCATGTTATAGAAAAATTAATTGTAATTTAATAACCCTTTTAAAATTCTATATACGAATAATTATTTGTCCTTTTTTCTTTTTCTTTTTCTTCTTGCTTATCTAGGCCTATATTAAATAAGAGAGGGAAATTTTTTCTTCAATATTTCTTTAACAAGTAGTATAGTATAGCATATTTATTAACATGATATTACCGAGTGCGTGCGCTAGAAATTTTATTATCCTTTTCTAAGAAAATAGCCTCAACGACCTAGTTTTTGATTTGAGTATTTCTTTTTTCATTCTTTATCTTTTTCGAAAATAATATTTCATTTGGAATTTATATCCCCATTATATGTGAAATATAGTCTCATTTAGATATTATTTGTTTATATACAAGATGAAAATTGCCTGGATATCATCTAGGCACTTGATTCTTAGTATTTGCTAAATTATTTAAATTATTCTTACTGCTTATTTTTGTTTTTCTATTGCAAAGTCGGTTTAGTTTACGTTACTCAAAGATGGCGCTACTGTATAAAATCTTTCCTTTTAAAGTAATATAAGGTATTAATGAGTTATCTACCCAATTTGCCATCACTAAATAAGATTTTGAAAGGAGAAAAGAGCGTGGGAAGAAATGAGAATAAAGAGAGAGAGAGATAGATAGATGGGCTTTATACAGATACTCTCACGTTCGCATACGTACATGCACACACACACACACACACACAGTCTCATACATACACGCGCAGGGGCGCGTAGCGAGGGAGAGATAGTAGAAGGTTAGGAGAAAAGAAGAGCTAAGCGCAAATGTTTAATTTGCAATTAATTCCGTTATTTTCAAAGATATCCGCTATTATTTTAGAATGAAAATATAGCTCACGTTTTTCGGCATGTTCGATAAGTTCGCGAACTGCTTTCTTTAGACTATTCGCCCTACTCATTAGTTTTTTTCTCTTTACTTCTTCCTCTTTCTCCATAAGGTCCTCTTTTTCCCTCTTAACCTCACGACTCTCCGCCTCAAGAGTATTCAATAAAGAATCGAGTTTCTCTTGAAGCGCAGCACACTTTGAAGAGGACTCTTCTTCCTCTTCCTCAATTTCAGCTATCCTTTCCACAAAATCCTTGACCGTAGCGCACAAGACCTTGGCCGACATTATTACAGTTTTATGATTATCTGATTGGACAATTTTTGTCAGATGAGCTGCGACGGAATCTTCATACAAAGTTATTGCGTCATCTGTTAGGGAATCTTTTCTCGGATCAGGCATTAAACCCTCGTACGTTAGAATACTCCATCGATCGAGCATCTTTATTTGGGCGTGATCTAATTTCTCTAAAAAGGCAGCTAGTTGAGCTTCATCATCAAAAGCCGATCCCCAACCTAGGACCCTAGCCAAATCATTACCAGTGCCTAATGGTAGAACACCGACTTGACACTTGTTTATCAAATCCTTTTTATCTATTTCTCTTAGAACCCAGCCAATTGAACCGTCTCCTCCGCAGACTAGAATTCGGAAATGAGGCAGATCTTGAAAGAGTCTTAGGCTGAAAGGTAAAGAAAAAGACATTACCTAATTATTAATAATGAATAATCCACTATACTTGATGAATACATCTCTTAAATCAGTCACTTAGGCCTTATTATTCATTTGTAAAGTTGGACAATGAAATTCAGGAAAAAAATAACCACTAAATAATAGATTAATTAGAGGAAAAAGCTGAGAAGATGTGAATAGAATTGGATAATTTTGGCCAAAGGAATAGGCTATATACGGAAAAAAGACGACTATTTTTAGAACTTTTTTTTCTTGTTTTTTACAAAAATGGCTGTAGGCCAAATAAAACTATTATCTATAAATAACGTTTGTAAAAAGGCGACTTTTTTTAGCCTTAATTACCAGTTTGGCACAAGTTTATAACTTTCTTGTATATATATATATATATATATATATATATATTGCAAATTATATATAATGCCTATATACTGTATATATAAAGTATATAAATTTATATATATAATATATTATATATTCCTATGCATAACTTAATACTTTGCAATAAATGCCTTAGGGGTCAAAATGTCATCTTTTACTGCGAGTAGGTTAGGAGATGGAGTAAGAGTGTTGCTAAAGAACTATTTACATACATACAAATATATATAAATACCATTGTATTTATAGACATATAGTTAAAATATATAGTATTGCTATATAGTTAACTTAATTTATAGCCTAATAAAAAGTTATCTTTTCTATAAAGATAACATTTAAACATGATTCTAAATGTGTAAATGTTTCAAATATCTATATTTTGCAATAACTAATGAAAATTCATCGTTGATTGGCTAATTAAATTGTTTTTCAAGTCAATTCATTAATTTTTCTACAGTCATAATGCAATGTTGTTATAAATTAGTTTGACCGTGACCCGTAGAAATTAACATGTAGGTAAATAGTCGTTCGCTGTATTTTATTGTGTATATATAGGCTGATTATAGTCAACTAATCATAGCTGAATAATACTGTTGGCTGGTGACAAACATTGCTTAGTATAGACGTCAAAAAAAATTATTTCTATTTTTGGTAAATGGTCAGCTAAATAAAGAATACTATGGACCGTCAGTAGAGTGACGCTCTGGTAAACTGAATAATACTAATAGTATAAAACGAAATTGGTTGTATGGGTATTTTTAGATTGTATTTTAGAAAGCTCCATTACCGAAGAGCCGTTATTGTTGTTATTGTTTGTCGTTTTATCTTAACGAAATCAAGGAACGAGGAAAAAAAAGGATAATGCAATTGATGAAAAAAGAAACAAAAGAACAATAATACAAACCCGCAATGTGGTCCTGATCGGATCAAATCAAAAACTTGAGCTGGATTCAAAATACGCTTGAATTTCCTATACATTTTGACTCCCTGATTATCACCACTCTTCGAATTAACGAATACAAGAAGAGGTTCTACCAATCTCGGTGAGCTTCTCGCTTTGCACATCTCATCCAAATCGACGGCTGATATATTTGTAGGTGGTAGAATAAGACGACTACAAGGTCCCATACTGCACACTTTATCCAATTTTCCTTTACAATTTGTATGAACAGTAGCTTTACACCAGATACATTTACAATCCTGTAGCCTTAAGACGCTACCACAAGGTTTGTCACAAACTAGACACTTGGCGCTGACTGGTAAATTTCCTTCAAGCCATTGATGAGGCATTTCAACTTTCTAAAGGTGGAGAAAAATATTTTTCCTCTTTTATAACCAGTTTTTTCTTTGTTTGTTACTGCTTTAGTTTTAATAACTTGCTCACTATTTCTAAGCAATTTATATTGAATTCAACCTATCTTCAATACTATATAAATATACTTTGAATAAATACTTTTTCTACTTGTATACTCTACTTTTGTAATAAATAACAGACTTTAATTATTCATTTTTTTCTTCTATTCCTATTTTGTTATTAATAACGATAAGATAAGAAGAAAGTGTTACAAGTAATATTTGGAGCAATATGGAAAATTACACAACTCTTTACAAGGCAATGAAAAATGGCCTTTGACATTAGCTCCTTTGTTACTATTTACTTACTTTTTATATGATATATATACATATATATATATATATATATACTGTATATAAATAGATATATATAGATATACCGTACATTAAATACAAGTTACAGTTTGTTAAGTACTACATTATATAATGAGTACGAAGATGTTTACTTTTACATTTTTGAACTATAGCTCATTAGATAGAACTTGTAATATTGTTAGAATCTAGTTGACTATATTGATGAGTATATACATTACATTATTTAATTATTAATTTTAGTATTTCTTATAACTTAATTAAAATGATGAAATTAAATATATTTAATTTTCCATTAATTGAACTATTTATATAAAAATTTACCCCTTCTTCGTCTTCTATTATTTCAGAGCCAATCGAGGCTAAAGTAGTCCACTTACAATTCACTTCCGTCCTAGATGCGCACCTTTTGTGAACTTTTAATTTGCAAACTGTACCAGAAATAGGAGAAATTAGTAGAGTATTAGATGCATGTTATAGAGCTTTGTATAGAACTTAAGCTGCATAATTATATATATATGTAAATAAATATGAACAATGTATTATAATAATGAAATGACCTATTAAAAAATAATTAATAATATTTTTTAAATATAGGTAGTTAATTAATTATTATGAGAAAAACATTTAATATCGAGTAAGATTGTTATATATATGAATTATATGTAACTAAGTCGTCTCTGCACATGGATATTTAACTTTATCCCTTTCTCTCTCTTTCTCTCTCTTCCTTTTATTCAGCTTACATTTATGAATAAAAATATTAGTTTAGATAAATTATACAAAGATTTACTTACTTTACTTACTTGCTTACACATATAAACATATACGTATAGACAATGTTTATGTACATATACGCAAGCCTCCTTTACTTCATTCTTACTTGGTTTAACATATTATTTTTTTTATAAGACTATTGATATTTCTTGTTTTTAATCGGATAGCATGCTAACTTAGCTCTTCATCAAAATGATCTAAAATATGAAATAATATCCCAAAAAAAAAACATAAAGAAAAGAAAATAATATAAATAAGATATGAAAAAAAAAGAGTGTTTTCCAGTTTTCCACAGAAGTAATTTACTTTTTTTTTCTAAATATACAAAAATAATTTTTTATTATCATGAAATAGTCATAAAAAATATATATATTAGTCAATATACATATATATACTATATATATATATATACATATATATGTATTCGTTCAATTTTCTCTATCATTTTACTGTTTCATGGTCGAATAATAAATTTGCCATTGAAAAAAAAAACAAACATAAAGGCATATATCATGTATTTTTACACTTTAATAAATTATTATTCTTTGAAGGACAAGGTAGGAAGGGAGATAGGTGGGTGGGCTGGTGTTTCCTTTATTTGTATGTATGTGGTGGGGATGGACGATTGGAATCAATGAGAGAATAAGTAAAAGATACTTTTCAGTCATTTTGTTAATTTTATTTGTAAACGGACTCCTCATCCCTTGTACATACTGTATATATAGGCTGTATCAGATAGACAGAGAGAGAGAGAGAGAGAGAAAAAGTGAAAAGCCGGAAAAAAATAAAAGTACATATCATTAAACTGTCACGCATGGTAAAAAAAATTCTTCCTTTACCATTTTTTGTGTCTTTTTTTAGATCAAAATTAAAAAAGAATTAAAGAAAAATAGAATGTAGATAGTGACATTTTTCAGAAAAAAACATAATTTTAAGAAAGAAAGTTTTATAAAACAATTAGAAATAAATTATTTATTTATGTTTATATTAACAAAATAATAATAAATTAAAGTTTTTTTGAACTGCCATTCAAGTTTATATTTATGTAAAATTTATACATTCTTTCCTACCTCTCTGCTATTATTTTAACAAAACACGTACTCTACTCATAGTTATGTAATCATTCGAATAAACATATACTGTACATATATATATATATATATATTATGTAGTAAACAATTATCAATAAAACAGAATAATAATTTTTCTCGCTACATAAATTGCTTTATTAAATTTTTATAAAAAGTATATTGAATGATTTTTGAATGGTTTTTATTTCCGCTTTTCCTTTGGTCATTCAATGAATTTTTTATGAATATAAAAATGAAAATAATAATAGTTATCTTAATTTTTTCAGTAAATTTATATCCTAATATCGCTACTATTACTTTTCTTACTAATAGCCTTTTAAAGACATTTAACAATTTTCCTCTTTCGTTCAACTGAAAAAGTGATTAAAAAAAAGACACGGAAAGAACCTTGCTAACAACTAAAATATTATCAAACAACTTTTTAAAGGTTGTGATAAAGAGTTTCTTTAATTTTCTACGTAGAAAAATATACTAAAACAACTTACTTTCGCATGATAAACCATGAGAAGTGACGCCTGATAACGCTTCTCTACAGACGTTACAGTAAGTAGGCCTAGCATGAGACGTTGGATACCATTGATGCTGACCCGTTTGGAAGTTTATAATATTATTCTGTTTGGAAGAAAGAGAAAAAAAAAATAAATTAGTAAAGTAAATAAGAAAGAAAAATTGAAAAAACTAAAAAAAAAAGTTGAATAAATAACTTTACAGAGAAAATTTTCTTTCTTTTATTTGTTCTTTTTCTTATGTTTCTTTTTAAAAGAGAATTAAACAAAAGCATATTTAAATAAAATATCTATATATAATTGTTCCTTGCTTTTTCTCTTATAAAAATCAATGGCATCGTCAACTTCTTCGTCTATTAAAAGTATTAATAATAATAAGAAGAAACAACAACACAGTTATACTAGTTATGCTAAGAGAAGAAAAATATGAATGAAAAAGAAATGAATTATTATTCACTTTTATATCTACTTAGCGTGTATTCCTCCCCCTATCCTTTTCTATTTTCACCTAACCCTAATGCTTTACAATTTCCTATTTAGCTATTTTGTATACAATAAATAAACGGGTGTTTTTTCATGATGTCACTCTAATTGACTCAATAAAGACTGACAGTGGGTAGAGGTGAATTTTTTAGTTCGATATTAAATAATTAAATAAGATATGAGAGATTTATATAGAAAAGTATAGAGATAGATAGTAAGAATTAATATAATCTAAAGGAACTATTTTCTGCCTGATAGATAAAAACAAAAACAAAACTATCTGTTTTTGGTTCTAGTATTTCTTATAAATATTCATGATTTTTAACATTCTCTATAATTATTGATCATAATTGTTTGTTTATTATGGGAAAATATTGGTAAGAGAATTGTTTTTCATTTAATATAAATTGATTGATCTATATCGACTATGAAGTAGAATTCATTAGAGATACGATTTACTCAATTAAAATTACTTGTTGACTTTATTAATGGCCTAGACTATAAATTAAATGAAATATGAAGAAAAGAGGGTAAAGAGTTAACAGAGTAAAGTTAAGAAATATATAATATATATAAAGTAGATATACAGTATATACATAGATAGACAGAGATAAATAGAGAAAGAGACGAAAGAGTAAAAGCTAAGAGTAAGAGAGATTTTTATTAAGATATTTGGAAAAGGGACTATATCTTCCTCTTCTCAAACTTCATTATTATTATATTTTATATTTAATTTTAATTAGCGAGGTGAAAGATACTGAAATACGAAAGAAGGAAATAAAACGAAATGTATATTATAATATATATGACATATAATGAATGTGCAAGGGAGGAACTTGGGGAAAGTATGGCAACAGTAACTTCCGGTTAATGTTACTATTATACGTAACGGTAATAATGTAATTTATAGACGAAGATATGTAACTAACATGGAGCAGATATTGTTTTTTTGTTATTTCTAAGGTGTTTCTATTCTATTATTAAAATAAATAAATATATTAATTGTTTACGAAATATTTCTTACTTTCCTTTTCAAGTACGCATACTGCATTTGTACAAATTAATTTACTTTCTTTTAATTACTACTTAGCCTTGAGTAAATAAACAAGTAGAAAACAAGGAAGTACAAACTGACTCATATTATCCATATTATATATTCAGTAAGGATGATGATAATAACAAAAAAATAGACAAATATTTGTCAGTTTGTTAAATAACAGTTGTAATACTTCGAATGTAACAAATGAATGGAATAATTTGTCAATGGCTTTTCTCTTCTACAGAGAAAATTTTTTTCCCTCTACCATTAAATAATTAATAAATAGATTAAAACGCTTAACTTACGTCGTATACTTCATTACTGCTTGCTGATTTCATGTTATCAATTAGATCGTCCATTTCCAAACGAGAATCCGTACAAAAACGGTTGCGAAATGGCGCCACAGCCTATTAGAAAGAAAAATATATATCGGCTAATGTTAATTTGTGTATATGTATTTGCAATAAATTATTCACGATTTGTACGCGCTAGACAATTAACGACCTTGACAGAATAAAATAAAACAAACATATATTCCTATAACAAAAAATTGATATTATATAACTTTCTTCCCTTTTTACCGATCTCTCCTCTCTCCCTTCTCTCTCTCTCTCTCTCTCTCTCTCTCTCTGGCCCTCTCTCTCTCTCTCTCTCTATTTTTCTCCCTTTTCCCTTCCCTCCCCCTTTTAATCTATGTCATATTATAATCATTTTTATATACTTAAGATAG